TTTCATCATGTTACACTCAATTTTATTATTCCTACAAATTCATTTAAAAGAACTGGTGCGATTATAAAATAATCAATTGCATTTTATTTAATCGATTACTTGGTTGAAACTGAAACCATTCACCCATGAATGAAATTCATTATTAAGAACAGCACCAATGGTCAACGTGCTGTAGTCGCTTTGTATGTCTGTTTATTGGTTCTATTACAACCTTATTTCTATCCTCAGTATCATCAGCTTTAGCAAAAACTGCCTCCATGGTCTAGAGGTAGAGCATCCGCCCGGAGAACGAAAAGTCCCATGTTTGATGCCCGGCCGCGTCATACCAAAAGATTTTAAAAGATGGCACTTGTTGTTATCCTGTCTGGCGCTCGGCAATAAGGGGCTAAAACAAGGACTGGTTGGCTCGGAGTCAGTATACTGTGTCTGAGTGGGGTATTCATGTTAACCTGCGGCATGGTATCCAAGTGGGCTAGCACTATAAAACCGGCATTAGTCCGGACTAGTACAAGCAGCCACATAAACACACACACGTACATGCACGTCGCTATATAAATGCAATAATCTTGAACATGCCGTTAAACCCCACCTCGCCTCACCTTTAGCAAAAACCTATATGTTGGCAATGATGTGAGCTCATAAAACATTAATCCATCAATAACACAGACTCAATCAATATTGATATAAAGGAATCGATCAATATGTTCTCTTTAACATACCAAGTTGATCATTAGGGAGGTTGTGGATACCAGGACAGGATAACACCAGATTGCTCAAATAGTTGCACCTCGTCACGAATGGTAGATCATGTGAATGTTTAGCTCCAGTTGGTGTGTAAACACAATCTACTAGAATATTCATGTGGCAAGAATCCCATTTCAGGGATAGTTACTCTCAGAAAAACAGAACTTTTTTCTTTTGGCTGTTTTCAGGATTAAGACATGGCTACTGCTGTACCAAGATGACATACCGTATTCGACATAATATGCGCCCAGGACGCTCTCAAAATTAGAAATAGGGGGCTCTTATTAGAATATTATTTTGGTGGAGTTAAAGGATAAATTTCGTGGTTTATGCTGACAGCCTGAAATGTTATATACGACAGATATATTTTTCCAGAATTTAATTGCCCATAATTTAGGGTGCACAAAACACTAGAATGTGTATTATACGCGAATACATAAGTCTTGTGTACATTGATCAATCAGAAGGGGTGCTAATTGGGATTGTTCACTAGCCAATATATTAGCAAATATCGCCGTGGGCACTTGTTACTTATTAGAGCGGGGCACTTATTACGTCGAATACGGTACTTCTACAGAAAACCTGAACGTGTCACCTCAAACACATTGACAATGAGTTCATGTAATTACTGACATATACTCTTTAAACAATAAACCTGCACGTGTCACCTCAAACACATTGACAATGAGTTCATGTAATTACTGACATATACTCTTTAAACAATAGACCTGAACATGTCACCTCAAACACATTGACAATGAGAACATGTAATTACTGACATATACTCTTTAAACAATAAACCTGCACGTGTCACCTCAAACACATTGACAATGAGAACATGTTATTACTGACATATACTCTTTAAACAATAGACCTGAACGTGTCACCTCAAATACATTGACAATGATTTCATGTAATTACTGACATATACTCTTTAAACAATAAACCTGCACGTGTCACCTCAAACACATTGACAATGAGGACATGTAATTACTGACATATACTCTTTAAACAATAAACCTGAACGTGTCACCTCAAGCACATTGACAATGAGAACATGTAATTACTGACATATACTCTTTAAACAATAAACCTGCACGTGTCATCTCAAACACATTGACAATGAGAACATGTTATTACTGACATATACTCTTTAAACAATAGACCTGAACATGTCACCTCAAACACATTGACAATGAGTTCATGTAATTACTGACATATACTCTTTAAACAATAAACCTGAACGTGTCACCTCAAACACATTGACAATGAGAACATGTAATTACTGACATATACTCTTTAAACAATAGACCTGCACGTGTCACCTCAAACACATTGACAATGAGTTCATGTAATTACTGACATATACTCTTTAAACAATAAACCTGAACGTGTCACCTCAAATACATTTACAATGAGGACATGTAATTACTGACATATACTCTTTAAACAATAAACCTGAACGTGTCATCTCAAACACATTGACAATGAGGACATGTAATTAATGACATGCACTCTTTAAACAATAAACCTGCACGTGTCACCTCAAACACATTGACAATGAGGACATGTAATTACTGACATATACTCTTTAAACAATAAACCTGAACATGTCACCTCAAACACATTTACAATGAGGACATGTAATTACTGACATGCACTCTTTAAACAATAAACCTGAACATGTCACCTCAAACACATTTACAATGAGGACATGTAATTACTGACATGCACTCTTTAAAAATAATAAATCTGAACATGGATATTTATCACTAACAGGGATAAGGCTTTTAATTGACATCAGCTTTCTCAAGCTTCAGTTTAAATATTGCCTTTGGTACATTATATTACCGATTAAACAGTCCTGATACACACTACCTGTACATGATACCTACATATGATACACAATACCTGTACGTGATAGCTATATATGTTACACAATACTTGGCAGATCCAAGATTTTGATAAAGAGGGGATGCACACCAGTGGCAGATCCGGGATTTTGATAAAAAGGGGATGCACACCAGTGGCCGATCCGGGATTTTGATAAAAAGGGGATGCACACCAATGGCAGATCCAGGATTTTGATAAAAAGGGGATGCACACCAGTGGCAGATCTGGGATTTTGATAAAAAGGGGATGCACACCAGTGGCAGATCCAGGATTTTGATAAAAAGGGGATGCACACCAGTGGCAGATCCAGGATTTTGATAAAAAAGGGATCCACACCAGTGGCAGATCCAGGATTTTGATAAAAAGGGGATGCACACCAGTGGGAGATCCGGAATTTTGATAAAAAGGGGATGCACACCAGTGGCAGATCCGGGATTTTGATAAAAAGGGGATGCACACCAGTGGCCGAGCCAGGATATTGATAAAAAGGGGATGCACACCAGTGGCAGATCCAAGATTTTGATAAAGGGGGATGCACACCAGTGGCTGATCCAGGATTTTGATAAAAAGGGGATGCACACCAGTGGCAGATCCGGGATTTTGATAAAGGGGGATGAATACAAGTGGCAGATCCAAGATTTTGATAAAAAGGGGATGCACACCAGTGGCAGATCCGGGATTTTGATAAAAGGGGATGAATACCTGACAGAGCCTTGATTTTGATTATGCCGAGCACCAGGCTGGGTAACAACAAGTACCATTTTTTAACGTCTTTTGGTATAACACAGCCGGGGATCGAGCCCCAGACGTTCTGCTCTCTGGGCGGACGATCTACCACTAGACCAGGGGGGCAGTCCATCAGTGAGTGAGGGTATAGAATTGTGAGAGTAGAACAAGTTTTTCTCTTTCACAAAGTGTGATTGAAGGTCAACAAAACATGTAGCAGAAACAAATGACTGAGATCCTGCTCCGTGAACGTGATGTGCCGTAAGTACCTGGGAATCATGACATAACCAACACTGTACACAACATAGTATTGGATAGGGCTAGGATGAGTCCGAATGAACTACCCGGTTACCCACCCACCTATTACCCAACCCTACCTGGGTACCCGCTGCAGGTCTCAAGAGTTGGATACAAAATGTCTGATTGAGAATAGTTTGACCATAGCCCTGCCAAAATGTGTTTAGATACACATATAAAACGATCTGGTCATGCATACACCGATGTTGACTTAAGTTTTATCTTTATTCAAACATATAAAGGAATGGGTGCATAGTCAGGAAGAAATGCGAACATTAGTGACTTGTAGTGTAACCATAGAATTCTTGATCATTTTAGTCATTAAACATATCACATGGCTAACCAAGGGTCTGGGTAGTCCTGTTGGTACTGGTCCTACTCAGGACCCACCCGACCGATGTACCCGAGTTACCCGTCCCAGCCCTAGTATTGGACTCTGTCACAGGAATTTATATGATATTGTTAATAGCTGGAAATTACAATGAACTTCATATTTTCATTTTACACAAACATCTTACTTTTGTTCAAACATAATATTATCTGTTCGATGTTTCAAATCAATACTAGTGAACTGACAGAAATTAACCATATACTTATACCGTCATCCACTTACTGACTGAGCCAATTAGTTGATTAGTTACATCTTGAATCACAATGCAGTAGACAGCTGAACTCCACATACATCGCACAATTGTCACAATATGTTTTGGTATATACCCCACTCATTATTGATCTCATCCTGTGCTCAGCATCAATAAAATGCTGCCTCCCACCGATTCTAAGATGAATCCCAAAGGCAGTAGATAGCTGAACTCCCCATACATCACACAATTGTCACAAGACATTTTAGTATATACCCGGCCACATCAGAATATTGATCTCACCCTGTGCTCAGCATCAATGAAACCCTTCCTCACACTGAATATATTCTAAGATGAATCCCAAGGCAGTAGGCAGTTGAACTCCCCACACACAACACATCTGTCACACAACGTTTTAGTATATACCCGGGCTCATCAGGTTATTGATCTCACCCCGTTCTCAGTATCAATGAAATACTCACACCATGGACCCTAAATATCGTATTAAGTGTCCATGCTCACACTGAATATATTCTAAGATGAATCCCAAGGCAGTAGGCAGTTGAACTCCCCACACACAACACATCTGTCACACAACGTTTTAGTATATACCCGGCCTCATCAGGTTATTGATCTCACCCCATTCTCAGTATCAATGAAATACTCACACCATGGACCCTAAATATCGTATTAAGTGTCCATGCTCACACTGAATATATTCTAAAACGAATCCCAAAGGCTGAAGATAGTTTAACTCACCTTACATAAGATGGTCAGTTAGTCCAGCAAGCAGTTATCCCTTCCTGTGATGATGAACATGTCTCTTTGTGTGATCATCAACTTGCTGGAAAGAAGCTGCATTACTTAATGCATGGCAACTTACACGTATACTTCACACTCAGCTAACACACTCCGCCACTGTAAGGAGTTCCCGCTAGTCACCATGTCTGTTGCATACCTGCAATGCTTCATTGGGTCGACAAAGATTGCTACAATAGAGCAATGTGGATTCAAGCATGGCTTTCAAGCAGCTGATAGATGACACAGAGCACAACTCCTACAGATGCATTCTTTAGTTGAAAGGGATTCCCCGATATGTATTTGCTGCCTGCTACCTGCTTGGCAAGTACAGTTGCACCCTGGTAGGTAGGCTGTGAGTATTTGTCAGGGAGCAGGCCTCCTGGCTTGGGGAGAGTGTTGTGACGAAACAGTTCCCGTGGACAGGTCTGTCAATAGAGTTGTTTTTGGAATTACTCAAATCGGAAATGCAGTTTTCTGACTAATGTATGTCCTGGTAATTTGACACATTTTTTTCATATCATCTATTATGGTAATTGTTACATATATTATCGGTATGAGTAATAATTATTAGAAAATATTTGAGTTTGTAAGAGGTGAGTGAGTGAGTGAGAAATAGGGAGGAATGATACCTACCAAGGGTGAGTGAGTGAGTGAGTGAGTGAGTGAGTGAGTGAGTGAGCGATTGGGGATGGAAAAGAAAGGGACGATGCCTACCAAGAGTGAGTGAGTGAGCGAGTGAGTGAGTGAGTGAGTGAGTGAGTGAGTGAGTGAGTGAGTGAGTGAGTGAGTGGGGATGGAGAAGATAGGGACAATGCCTACCAAGAGTGAGTGAGTGAGTGAGTGGGGATGGAGAAGATAGAGACGATGCCTACCAAGAGTGAGTGAGTGAGTGAGTGGGGATGGAGAAGATAGGGACGATGACTACCAAGAGTGAGTGAGTGAGTGAGCGAGTGGGGATGGAGAAGATAGGGACGATGCCTACCAAGAGTGAGTGAGTGAGTGAGTGGGGATGGAGAAGATAGGGACGATGCCTACCAAGAGTGAGTGAGTGAGTGAGTGGGGATGGAGAAGATAGGGACGATGCCTACCAAGAGTGAGTGAGTGAGTGAGTGAGTGGGGATGGAGAAGATAGGGACGATGCCTACCAAGAGTAAGTGAGTGAGTGAGTGAGTGAGTGGGGATGGAGAAGATAGGGACGATGCCTACCAAGAGTGAGTGAGTGAGTGAGTGGGGATGGAGAAGATAGGGACGATGCCTACCAAGAGTGAGTGAGTGAGTGAGTGAGTGGGGATGGAGAAGATAGGGACGATGCCTACCAAGAGTGAGTGAGTGAGTGAGTGGGGATGGAGAAGATAGGGACGATGCCTACCAAGAGTGAGTGAGTGAGTGAGCGAGTGGGGATGGAGAAGATAGGGACGATGCCTACCGTGAGTGAGTGAGTGAGTGAGTGAGTGAGTGAGTGGGGATGGAAAAGAAAGGGACGATGCCTACCAAGAGTGAGTGAGTGAGTGAGTGAGCGAGTGAGTGGGGATGGAGAAGATAGGGATGATGCCTACCAAGAGTGAGTGAGTGAGTGAGTGGGGTTTGAGAAGAAAGGGACGACGCCTACCAAGCATACAAACCAACAAATATATAATAGTTACATAGCTATAAAGTAACAAACCTATATATATATTATCAATCCAAACTAATTTTATAAAGGGAGAGGGACCCTAAGAGGAAAAAAATCCAGCATTTTCAGGAAGAAGTTATTGTTTTTAAAAAAATATAAGTCTGAACCCTTCCCTATCCTCAAATCCCCACCCCTATAATATGAAATGGTCAGCCCTGACAACATCTCTTTGAAGCTGATCTGAGGTCACCAATATCTTCTTGACACAACTTTCAGAGGATAGTCATAGTGTCAGTTTAACACCCTCCTCGTCCTGATCCACAGACCGCCTTAGCTTGCCTTCACAAGTAGAGTGTGACATGTTGTGTGGAGACGTTACACTGACGAGGCTGAGTGACCAGGTATACATCTCTATGTTCAGTCAAGGAGCACCCATGACTCACAGGATAATCTTCCAGTCACGTTATGACCCAAAACTTTGACAGGCTGGGTATCATACTGCTTAATGTTATAATAAACTAAACTTAGAAATTTATACATTGTTCAGTTATGTCAGATAATCTTCTGTTTTATGCAAATAAGATATGTTTCACTAAACACTGACTTCAGTGTACTGTGACTTCAGTGTATTGTGACTTCAGTGTATTGTGACTTCAGTGTATTGTGACTTCAGTGTACTGTGACTTCAGTGTATTGTGACTTCAGTGTATTGTGACTTCAGTGTACTGTGACTTCAGTGTATTGTGACTTCAGTTTACTGTGACTTCAGTGTACTGTGACTTCAGTGTATTGTGACTTCAGTGTACCGTGACTTCAGTGTATTGTGACTTCAGTGTATTGTGACTTCAGTGTACTGTGACTTCAGTGTATTGTGACTTCAGTGTATTGTGACTTCAGTGTACTGTGACTTCAGTGTATTGTGACTTCAGTGTATTGTGACTTCAGTGTATTGTGACTTCAGTGTACTGTGACTTCAGTGTATTGTGACTTCAGTGTATTGTGACTTCAGTGTACTTTGACTTCAGTGTATTGTGACTTCAGTGTAATGTGACTTCAGTGTATTGTGACTTCAGTGTACTGTAACTTCAGTGTATTGTGACTTCAGTGTATTGTGACTTAAGTGTATTGTGACTTCAGTGTATTATGACTTCAGTCTACTGTGACTTCAGTGTACTGTGACTTCAGTCTACTGTGACTTCAGTGTACTGTGACTTCAGTGTATTATGACTTCAGTGTACTGTGACTTCAGTGTATTATGACTTCAGTCTACTGTGACTTCAGTGTACTGTGACTTCAGTGTATTGTGACTTCAGTGTATTGTGACTTCAGTGTACTGTGACTTCAGTGTATTGTGACTTCAGTGTATTGTGACTTCAGTGTACTGTGACTTCAGTGTACTGTGACTTCAGTGTACTGTGACTTCAGTGTATTGTGACTTCAGTGTACTGTGACTTCAGTGTATTGTGACTTCAGTGTATTGTGACTTCAGTGTACTGTGACTTCAGTGTATTGTGACTTCAGTGTATTGTGACTTCAGTGTATTGTGACTTCAGTGTACTGTGACTTCAGTGTACTGTGACTTCAGTGTATTGTGACTTCAGTGTATTGTGACTTCAGTGTATTGTGACTTCAGTGTACTGTGACTTCAGTGTACTGTGACTTCAGTGTATTGTGACGTCAGTGTATTGTGACTTCAGTGTATTGTGACTTCAGTGTATTGTGACTTCAGTGTACTGTGACTTCAGTGTACTGTGACTTCAGTGTACTGTGACTTCAGTGTATTGTGACTTCAGTGTATTGTGACTTCAGTGTACTGTGACTTCAGTGTATTGTGACTTCAGTGTATTGTGACTTCAGTGTACTGTGACTTCAGTGTATTGTGACTTCAGTGTATTGTGACTTCAGTGTACTGTGACTTCAGTGTATTGTGACTTCAGTGTATTGTGACTTCAGTGTACTGTGACTTCAGTGTATTGTGACTTCAGTGTATTGTGACTTCAGTGTATTGTGACTTCAGTGTACTGTGACTTCAGTGTACTGTGACTTCAGTGTATTGTGACTTCAGTGTACTGTGACTTCAGTGTATTGTGACTTCAGTGTATTGTGACTTCAGTGTATTGTGACTTCAGTGTATTGTGACTTCAGTGTATTGTGACTTCAGTTTACTGTGACTTCAGTGTATTGTGACTTCAGTGTATTGTGACTTCAGTGTACTGTGACTTCAGTGTATTGTGACTTCAGTGTATTGTGACTTCAGTGTATTGTGACTTCAGTGTACTGTGACTTCAGTGTATTGTGACTTCAGTGTATTGTGACTTAAGTGTATTGTGACTTCAGTGTACTGTGACTTCAGTGTACTGTGACTTCAGTGTATTGTGACTTCAGTGTACTGTGACTTCAGTGTATTGTGACTTCAGTGTATTGTGACTTCCTCCCACATTGAGCTGACACGCCCTAATATAACTGGAATACTGTTAAAAGCAGCGTTAAACCCAACTCACTCACTCACTGTGGCCTGTCTGTTTGACCCTCATGACCTCTGGCCCATTTGAAACCTCTCAGTGCGTGTGAGGTTCTCCATTCAATTTAGCACCATCAAATCAACAGAAACAGAGAAGTACATTGAACACACAGTTCATCTCCTCATTTATAGTCTTCTGAATCATCCTAACCTCCTTTAAATACATTCAGGAAGGGTATTTATGATAACAGGATTTAATGAAGATAGGAATATATACTCAACCCCAAAAGAAACGCAAAAGAAACATGCTATAAGAATGAAGGTTACCAACAGAAACATATCAAACTTGGCAGTGTTATAGGAAAATATTTAATTCACGTACGACTGAATGTCATGAACTTCTTGTTGGATTCAAGGTCACCTTGACGTTTAAAGTCTTTTTGAATCACATTCAGTAACAGGTATGACAGCTGATTGGTCTGTTGTGAATCCCATACGTCATTCCAGCAGATGTTGCACGTAGGAATCAACGTAGGGAAGTAAATTTTACATAAAATGAGGTAGTGGGGCAAGTAAAATATAAAATAGTCCTAAGACCAATCACACTCCTATTATTCAGAAATGTATCTATATAGACTTCCTACTACTGCTTGCGACCGACTTTCAACACTGACAGTACACGAGGACAGCCACTACAGAAATCTGAACAGGAAGCACGAGCAGAAACTAGTGATGACATATCACTGACCTGTACTGACGGGACTGACAACTATGATTAAACCATTTATAATATCTGTCCCATCTGTCACGAAGTGTCCGGCATGTTGGTCATGAGTTATATCAGGGCTATGGATTAATACAGGAAACTGATACACTTCAGTTCAAATTTCTTGAATATAACTTTTCAAAGGATTGAAGAAGAAGCTGAAAAACATTTTAACACAAATCTGTCGTGTATGCAGTGGGTGGGTGAGTGAGTGAGTGAGTGAGTGAGTGAGTGAGTGAGTGAGAGAAGCAAGAGACAATGGCTACTGTGAGTGAGTGAGTGAGTGAGTGAGTGAGAGAAGCAAGGGACAATGGCTACCAAGAGTGAGTGAGTGAGTGATCGGGTGAGTGAGTGAGTGAGTGAGTGAGAAGCAAGGGACAATGGCTACCAAGAGTGAGTGAGTGAGTGAGTGAGTGACGCCTTTTGCCACCATGACCAAAGCAGTAAAGCAGTGCGAACTGAACTGTGTGCTATATTTGATCGCATTGTTTTTAAGTTTTAGGATTTTCATATTTGTTGAAACTGAAACATGCGGCTGAGACTTTATGAGGATGCGGGCGGTGCTTAAGGACCAAGACTATTATATTTTTAGCCTATGATTCATTTGATGAAGCCAAGCCCAAAGGACATTGTCAAATTACACATAACACTGGGAATATTGATGTTGTATGGTAAATAATATGTTTTGAATTCAAAGATTGATGTTGTGTAGAAAGCTTTCTTAGTACGGTAAGTGTCACAAATTTGAAAATTTCGAGGTGCACCAGGTGCATATAGAGATTAATAATAGGTTGCATTTTTCAATATGCAGTTGCACTGTTGCATGTTTTATATGGTTAAATCATTCCCTGAGACTGACATTTGATGTCAAGCAATGTGCCATGGACCCTTGTCATGTATTAAATATTTGTAAGGCATGCAAGGTTCCCCTCTGGCTTGTTTGTTTGTTTGTTTGTTTGTTTGTTTGTTTGTTGAACCCCGGAGTCAGCAATATTCCAGCTATATGACGGCGATCTGTAAATAATCGAGTCTGGACCAGACAATCCAGTGATTGACATCATGAGCATCGATCCACGCATTTGGGATCGATGACATGAATCAACCAAGTCAGCGAGCCTGACCACCCGACCCCATTATAGTCGCCTCTTACGACAAGCATAGTCGCCTCTCACGGCAAGCATGTATTGCTGAAGACCAATTCTACCCCGGATCTTCACGGGTCCCTACAATCAAATATACCTGAACATATCCCTCTCTCCTCACTCCCTCACTCACTCAACACCATACTCTGGGTGACACATTGTGATAGTATTACATCAGTCAGAAAAATCCACCCTAAATAATTCTCTCCAAAAGGCCTTGAATCATGTAAAAAGATTTTTTTTATTTACCTGCTCAACTCAGAACAAAAAGTGAAAATATATTTTAATACATGTAATATTTTGATTTATTAGATAACTTCTTCATGGCATTGAAAAATCTTTTTTTATTTGTACCTCAAAACTTTACAGAGCTACAGATAAGCAGCATATTTGTGTAAAATAACCCCCAAAAATATTCAAAACCCAATTACTTTCAATTAACTTGCGTACAAAAATGCATGCATTAAATGAAATACTCAAATGTATAAAAACAGCAATGAAACTTTTCAGCATGCATAGAAAGCAGCTGTTTTCCGAAACACAATTACAAGCTAATTTACTTTCCAAGTAAAGCCTATATATTCAAAACAGTTATTTACATCTAAAACATTATTTCATTTTTCAAAATCTTAAAATGTTCACTACTTTTGGGGAAAAATCCAATATAGTGGTTACCCAATGGAAAATGTAATACCCCAATTAAAAAAGAAACCCTAGAGTAAAAACTCAATTGCTCAAAAATGTATCTGAAGCTCTGACTTAAGTCATCAGACTGATGTAGGAATGTATGTAGGAAACAGTGTGCCACATCTAACAATCCTAACCAAGCAGCTCACCAGTATGAAAGAACGAAGCATGCTTGCAAACTCACATGTTCCTCTATGGACATTGTACAAATGTGTGTCGGGTCACTTCAAATATTGACATGACCTCAATTGTATGTATGTACTTTGTACTAAACCTGTCTCTCCACCCAAACTGGGATATATTAATAGCAAAAAGGCAGTTAGACAGGATTACATCCATCTTCTCTTATACAAGGCTTGTAAAGACCTTTTGTTCAAAATAAATTGCCACCAAAGCTTGCTACGTCAGTTTTAAGAAAAGAAGTCACATTATGCACACAATTTAGCAAGAATCTGAACAGAACTTTGGCTTTTGAAGTGCAAGTAGATTAGTATATTACACAATATAATACATGTTTATATGTAAATACATGTTTTTACAAATGTTGCATAAGACATGGATTTGGCAGTGAAAGAGAATTTGCTAAATGGGTCAGCAGTTGGAAAAGTTTTCTTGACCCTTTGGGATAAGCAGTAAGGTGAGGTGAAGTGAAGTGGGGTTTAACGTTGCGTCCAAGATTATTCAGCTTAAATAGCGATGTGCATGTACGTGTGTGTGTGTACTAGTCCAGACTAATGCTGATTTTATAGTGCTTGCCCACTGAAATACCCATGCTGTACATGAATACCCCACTCAGACACAGTATACTGACTCCGAGCTGACGAGTCCTTGTTTTAGCCCCTTAATGCCGAGCGCAAGACAGGGAAACAACAAATACCATCTTTTAACGTCTTTTGGTATGGGCGCCCTGGGATTGAACCCTGGACCTTCTGCTCTCAGGGGCGGACGCTCTACCACTAGACCACAGAGGCGGTCAGTTACAGATAGGAGTGCATGGCAACTTCTCGACATGGTAGCACTCTGAGCAGACTTTTGTGTTTTCTGTAACTTTCCTGTGAAGGTGCTTCCGCTCTCCGGGGAGACGCTCTACCACTAGACCACGGAGGCAGTCCATAAACACTGAGGCTGACCAGGTGGAGTTAACCCTAGGCTTACATTAAAAAAATAAAAACTATTGACCCATGTATCCTACTTCAGCCTCTTAGGATACATGGGTTAATAATCATTTTATTACTTGCCCCTTAAGGATGCACAAAACCAAATGTTTTCCCAAATTTTATAGTAACATTGCATACCGTATTCGACATAATAAGCGCCCCGCTCTAATAAGCGCCCACAACGATATTTGCTGATATATTGGCTAGTGAACAAGCCCAATTTGCATCCCTTCCGATTGATCAATGTACAAAGGACTTATTTATTCGCGTATAATACGCACTCATGTGTTATATACACCCTTAATTATAGGCAATTAAATTCTGGAAAAATATATATGTCGCATATAAACACTTCAGGCTGTCAACATAAACCACAAAATTTATCTTTCATCTATGGTTTTTTTTCACCAAAATAATATTCTAATAAGAGCCCCCTATTTCTAATTTTGAGAGCACCCGGGGCGCTTATTACGTCGAATATGGTATTTGTTTTAAAAAAGTAGGCATTCAACAGCCATTGCATGTATATGCATGCATATAGTCTGGCCTTAAAGCTGCAATAAAAACACAAATTTGGGCTAGCTGAACCAGTTCCTTTTCCGAGTACAGGAAGCTAAACACACCACCTAGTTCTGCACCAAATGTCAGTTGCTTGAAAATATCTGTGGTCACATTCAGCAAAAGTCACCATTTTGGAAAATACATAACTAAATATGGCAAAAATATGGCCGGTTTAATTACTGGAAAGATCTACATTAAAAAAAAACAACATAAAAAATCTTACACAAAACCATTTTATCACAGCAGCCAGATTTCTGAGTCTCCTCTATGAAAACTGCTGTCCAAACGACTGATTCTGATTTATTGTAGACGAACCTTAACAAATCTAACCAAGGGGAGATAACCCTGTGCTTACATTAAACCAGAAACAAATCTGACCAAGGGGAGTTAAACCTGTGCTTACATTGACACGGCTCATCAGGGGAGTTAACCCAAAGCTTACAAAGCAGAGCGCGAAGTCATGCAATAGTTAGCGTGCTTACCTTGTCAGGTTATCCTGGACACATGGGGACAACTCGTCCGAAGGTGCGTGGTTCAAATGCCATCATGGGATTCGAAAATGTCATGGCCGCTAAACTTACATTAACACAACTGACCAAGGGGAGTTGACCTATGTTTGTGTGTGTGTGTGTGTGTGTGTGTCTGTGTGTGTGTCTGTGTGTGTGTTTGGTGTGTGCGTGCGTGTATGTGTGTGCGTGGGGGGAAGATCTACCTGTCGTACAGCTGCCTAAATGCACAAGACCATGACCTTACATGACCTTTGTGATGCAGCTAAGGGGAGATAACCGCGTTCTTCCATTCAAATGATCTTCCGCCCCAAATCCTACCTCCTTCATACTAAACAGTTGACCAAGGGGAGAGGGATATCCTTACTCTCATTTCCACGTACACTTCATCCTGTCAAGGGAGATAACCCCGCTTACATTAAAAGAGAATAACTGGACCAAACTGGACCAAAGATGTGTATAAAAAAAATATCACAAACCAAAACTATAGACATTTATATTGCACAACAACAATTTTACAATCCAAGTAAGTTCGCCTGCGTATACACTTTAACATTAATCAGTTTGTCATGTCATAAAAATATTTGTCAACAGGCTATGACTACGAGACTGGGGTCGGTCGGGCAGTCTAGTGGTTAAAGCGTTCGCTCGCCACACCAAAGACCCGGGTTCGATTCCCGACATGGGAATGTGTGAAGCCCATTTCTGGTGTCTCCCGCCGTGATATTGCTGGAATATTGCTAAAAGCGGCGTTAAACCATACCCGCTCACTACGAGACTGATGCTCTCCCGTAAGACAACAATACTGAAGACACTTCACACATACCTGCCAATTGAAAGCGCAAGATTGAAGAAGTCGTGGTTCTTGCTCTTCTATAAGCCATTAGTCATCGCTGAATAATTCCATGCACAGTGTGTGACAGACTGTAGAAGTTACGTCACTAGCAAATCCTAAACAGCAACACACTCTTTTTTTCCCGTTCTTGCGCTAACAACCCGCAGATAGAATTTCTGATTAAGTGTTCCTTCGTCTGGGGACATACTTAACGATAGACTAAATAAAACGCTTTCACCTTTACTATATCTTTTCTTCTTCTTCAGTAAACAATATCCTACTAGATCGCTTTGATGTTTGGGGAACAAAAGACCGTTGTGTGTCAAGTTTCCCCCAAGCCATTCTGTCACCTGACAGCCAGTTCAGGGTTGTTGTGTAGCCTTGAGATTGATAGTTTAAATGCCGTACTTGCAAACGAATGTTATTCACAGCCATTTCTGGTTCATCGGACTATTGTCGTGGAGTCTCTACACCAACAGCAGGACCCCATTGTAGTCATAGTTAATTCTCTTCAGTATCGTCAAACAATATGTGGGGCGGTCGGGTAGCCTAGTGGTTAAAGCGTTCGCTCGTCATGCCGAAGACCCGGGTTCGATTCCCAACATGGGTACAATGTGTGAAGCCCATTTCTGGTGTCCCCCGCCGTGATATTGTTGGAATAGTGCTAAAAGCGGCGAAAAACCATACTCACTCACTCAAACAATATGTTACGTTGTTGTGGAACTTGGTTGGAGGCCTTCAAGTGGAAGGGCATCGGACACGTATCACGGAGTAACTAGTGGCCAAGCAAAGGTTTGTGCCAGCTGGATCCGAAGTTCGTCCCGACTGAGGGCTATTGTGTGTCAGATACATACCCATAAATGTCTAAGACCTGCCTCACAATATTGTATACATTTGGCGTCATTTCCACCTCACTCGTCACTACATACCTGAGTATTTATGACTTTTGGGGTAAATGTATTTTTCATGTTTTTTTAAGTTATTAAATTCAGTTGTTCATGAAAAGTCTAAAGGCAAAGTACTCCCTAACTCGTTCACTTGATTGGCCGTCGTCAATACTTCAGTAAACAATTGTTAAGCCTTTGAAGTCATGACGATATCGGCGGTTTCTAAAAATCTTTGTCGGTGTGTCAGTGGGGTATAGCAAGCGGCCTCATACCATCACTGTGAGATGTGATGATGCACAGAAAACTTCATGTACCAATTAGTCAGTACTGCAAGGATGAGTTAGTACTGGATCGGTCAGTAAGTACTAATCCTGTATTCACATTCAAGAGCCGGATATTGTCAGTAAGATAGACCCGTGAAGATCCGGGTTAGAATAGGTCTTCAGCAACCCTAAACAGGTGACTATGCTTGTCGTACGAGGCGCCTAAGGGTGGTCAGGCTCGCTGATTTGGTTGATGCATGTCATCGTATCCCAATTACATGGATCGATGCTCATGATGCCAATCACTGGATTGTCTGGTCCAGACTCGATTACAGACCGCCGTCATATAGCTGGAATTTTGCTGAGTGCGGCGTTAAACAAGAAGCAAACAAACAAACAATAAGGTATGCTGATAGACTGGCAAAATGGGGTTCTGGAACATAAACAGGAATTATAGAATGTTTAATATATGATTGGTTTATTACTCCGTCGGCATTTGGTTTTTATTTTCTGTACTTGACTGATGACAAAGCTAGTGTTGACTGTGGTAGGTATTGTCAGGGTGTTAATGAGTGAGTGAGTTGGGTTTAACGCCGCTTTTCGCAGTATTCCAGTTATATCGCGGCGTGTCAGCTTAATGTGGGAGGAAAGCCCGAAGTGATGCAGGTCTCAGACGTTTACCACTTCGGTGAAACCCACGAGGGGTATGGTGCTGACAAACCTAGAAACATAATCGGGGCGAACCGGGATTCGAACCCACAATCATAGGTTTCTGGCGTGCCCCAGGGACGCAACTCTGCACAGCGAATTGCGGCGCCTTAGACGACTGGGCCACCCGTGCCCCCGGGTGTTAATGAGATTCACTCAACTACTGTCGTCTTTGCCTCTGGTAAAAAATATTGAACAAAAACGTTTTGGATCATGAATAGTTTTGGGGCATACATTTATGAATTTGTGTGCTCAGTCCTCACTACAAAAACATATCCCAAAATATATTCATCACACTTACGTAAAATAATGCCCGTTGAGATAAAGTATGACGTAAGGGGAACGAATTTCAGTGTTATATAGTAAGACCCCAAAAAGACACCTGGGATGATAGTCATGTATTTCTTGTGAACATAACACAACACAACACAAGGTAACGATGTAAGTGGACATTTATTCACAAAATAACTGCAACTTTTTATATACATTTACATGCAATACAGTAAAATGTTGACTTTATCTCGTAATATACAACAGTCCTCGAGCAAATCATGCTGGTCGTTAAAGGCGATTATGCTTTGTCGCAAGAGGCGACTAACGGGATCGGGTGGTGAGGTTCGCTGACTTGGTTGATACATGTCATCGATCCCAATTGCGTGGATCTATGCTCATGATGTTAATCACTGGATTGTCTGGTCCAGACTCGATTATGTTACAGACCGTCGTCATATAGCTGGAATATGGCTGAGTGCGGCGTTAAACAACAAACAAACAAACAAACAAACAAACATTAAAAGCGGAGGAAAATCCAACTCATTTATCCATTGTTTTCCTAATGTTCGGGATCGGGTGGTGAGGTTCCCTGACTTGGTTGATGCAGGTCATCGTATCCAAGTTGCGATTATTTATAATTATTTACAGCCCGCCTTCATAGAGCTGGAATATTGCTGAGTGCGGCGTTAAACTCACAAACAAACAAGCAGCAGTCCTCGCGTTTGGGGTCCTTCAAACAAAGGCAAATGACTCCAAACACATCAGTTCGCCTTCAATGATCTCATCTATAGATTTGGCCTGAGGTTGTAATTACTGACTTAGCTGTAATCAAGACATTAATTTTCTCTGTTTAGTTAAGATAATCATTAACTTCCAGACCGATATGCGTCCTTAAACTTGGGTTAGCAGACAAATTGGTTCAATCGAAGAAATAAGGTATTCGGCTTAAAAGCTGTCTCCAGAAAATTAGGCCTTGAGCGAAGGAATAACTATCGGTGCCAACATTATGCATTACATGATAGATAGACAATATTAGACATACACACAGCACCAACAAATACACATCGAGGGGAATGTATGTTTTCAATCTACAGATAGACCTGTGAAGATCCGGGGTACAATAGGTCTTCAGCAACCAACGATTGCCGTAAAAGGCCACTAGGCTTGTTGTAAGAGACGAATAGCGGGTTCGGATGGTCAGGCTCGCTGACTTGGTTGATGCATGTCATCGTATCCCAATTACGTGGATCGATGCTCATGGTGTAAATCACTGGATTGTCTGGTCCAGACTCGATTATTTACAGACCGCCGTCATATAGCTGGAATGTTGCTGAGTGCGGCGTAAAACAACAAACAAACAAACAAACAATCTACAGATAAAACTGAAGCTCCAATAAAATCTGTATGTTCGTTCTTGTATTCAACTTCAAAATTCATCCGTGCTTTTATAGCCAGACTCCGTCGACACGAAATAGTCTGAGAATAAACTGTGTAGGTACGCAAAGGTTGGCCGACTTTCTGGTTGCCTCTTCCAGCAATGCATCATGACGTCATAGTAGGAATCTGGGAAACTCATCGCTCCGGAGGGTTTGGGCATCCGATAACCCGCTCCAATTTGTCGTATAACTTCAGGATTTGACATACCTACAAGCATATAATATACAATATACATGTTAATCACATAGAAAGAGTTGGGTAGATCGGCCAAGACTGGACTAAGGTACACGTGGCTTTCCTTAAAAAATGACGACTTCGTTGCATCACTAGGGGGCGGTCGGGTAGCCTAGTGGTTAAAGCGTTCGCTCGTCACGCCGAAAACCCGGGTTCGATTCCCGACATGGGTACAATGTGTGATGCCAATTTCTGGTGTCACCCGCCGCGATATTGCATGAGTATTGCTAAAAGCGGCGTTAAACCATACTCACTCACTATTGTGTGGAGTAAAATACATTTAGTCAAAGTCAAATATAGGACGCCTGATAAAACTAACCTGGGTACGGGACACGCCCGAAAGTGACGAGTTCATACAGGAGGACTCCAAATGACCACACGTCCGACTTGACAGAGAATTTCCTGTAATTAGCTGCTTCTGGTGCAGTCCACTTAATGGGAAATCTTGATCCTAGAGCAAAATAAATTGTTAAATAGCTGCACGCGGTATTTGTAAAAGCATCGGTCTTAACGTTTCTGCTTTGAATGATTTCTGTGTTTCAGGGCTTTCGGGGAATTAAAACATGATGTATGTATGCATCCATTAAATGTTACTGTTTGTTTGTATGTTATTTTACGCCGCACTCAGCAATATTTCAGCTAAATGACGGCCGTCTGGACCAGGCAATCCAGTGATTGATATCATTAGCATCGCTCAAAGCAATTGGGATGCGATAACATGCATCAACCAAATAAGCGAGCCTGACCACCCGATCCCGTTAGTCGCCTCTTACGACAAGCATTGGTTGCTGAAGACCTATTCTAACCCGGATCTTCACGGGTCAGTTCTAACATGTGCCAAGATGCTCATGTACCTAACAGTACATGCCCCTTGGTTTCTGCCAATGGATCACCTTACTTGCATCAGCCGTATAGTCCACTCCATCTTCAAGAATTCTTGCCAGACCGAAGTCCGCTACCTTGACGTTATGCTGATCTCCGACCAGAATGTTTGCTGTCCTTAAATCTCGGTGAACAAAGTTTTTGCTTTCCAAATACTCCATGCCCTCCGCAATCTGTGGGAATGTAGACGGTGAGGGCGTTATAAGGTAATGTACTCGACCTCCGCAATCTGTGGGAATGTAGACGGTGAGGGCGTTATAAGGTAATGTACTCGACCTCCGCAATCTGTGGGAATGTAGACGGTGTGGGCGTTATAACGTAATGTACTCGACCTCCGCAATCTGTGGGAATGTAGACGGTGAGGGCGTTTAAGGTAATGTACACGACCTCCGCAATCTGTGGGAATGTAGACGGTGTGGGCGTTTAAGGTAATCTACTCGACCTCCGCAATCTGTGGGAATGTAGACGGTGTGGGCGTTTAAGGTAATGTACTCGACCTCCGCAATCTGTGGGAATGTAGACGGTGTGGGCGTTTAAGGTAATGTACTCGACCTCCGCAATCTGTGGGAATGTAGACGGTGTGGGCGTTTAAGGTAATCTACTCGACCTCCGCAATCTGTGGGAATGTGGACGGTGTGGGCGTTTAAGGTAATCTACTCGACCTCCGCAATCTGTGGGAATGTGGACGGTGTGGGCGTTTAAGGTAATGTACTCGACCTCCGCAATCTGTGGGAATGTAGACGGTGTGGGCGTTTAAGGTAATCTACTCGACCTCCGCAATCTGTGGGAATGTAGACGGTGTGGGCGTTTAAGGTAATCTACTCGACCTCCGCAATCTGTGGGAATGTGGACGGTGTGGGCGTTTAAGGTAATCTACTCGACCTCCGCAATCTGTGGGAATGTAGACGGTGTGGGCGTTTAAGGTAATCTACTCGACCTCCGCAATCTGTGGGAATGTAGGCGGTGTGGGCGTTATAAGGTAATCTACTCGACCTCCGCAATCTGTGGGAATGTAGACGGTGTGGGCGTTTAAGGTAATGTACTCGACCTCCGCAATCTGTGGGAATGTAGACGGTGTGGGCGTTATAAGGTAATCTACTCGACCTCCGCAATCTGTGGGAATGCAGACGGTGTGGGCGTTATAAGGTAATCTACTCGACCTCCGCAATATGTGGGAATGTAGGCGGTGTGGGCGTTATAAGGTAATCTACTCGACCTCCGCAATCTGTGGGAATGTAGACGGTGTGGGCGTTATAAGGTAATCTACTCGACCTCCGCAATATGTGGGAATGTAGGCGGTGTGGGCGTTATAAGGTAATCTACTCGACCTCCGCAATCTGTGGGAATGTTGACGGTGTGGGCGTTATAAGGTAATCTACTCGACCTCCGCAATCTTTGGGAATGTAGACGGCGTGGGCGTTTAAGGTAATCTACTCGACCTCCGCAATCTGTGGGAATGCAGACGGTGTGGGCGTTATAAGGTAATCTACTCGACCTCTGCAATCAGTGGGAATGTAGACGGTGTGGGCGTTATAAGGTAATCTACTCGACCTCCGCAATCTGTGGGAATGCAGACGGTGTGGGCGTTATAAGGTAATCTACTCGACCTCCGCAATCTGTGGGGATGTAGATGGTGTGGGCGTTATAAGGTAATCTACTCGACCTCCGCTATCTTTGGGAATGTAGACGGCGTGGGCGTTATAAGGTAATCTACTCGACCTCTGCAATCTGTGGGGATGTAGACAGTGTGGGCGTTATAAGGTAATCTACTCGACCTCCGCAATCTGTGGGAATGTAGACGGTGTGGGCGTTATAAGGTAATCTACTCGACCTCCGCAATCTGTGGGAATGCAGACGGTGTGGGCGTTATAAGGAAATGTACTCGACCTCCGCAATCTGTGGGAATGTAGACGGTGTGGGCGTTATAAGGTAATCTACTCGACCTCCGCAATCTGTGGGAATGTAGACGGTGTGGGCGTTTAAGGTAATCTACTCGACCTCCGCAATCTGTGGGAATGTAGACGGCGTGGGCGTTATAAGGTAATCTACTCGACCTCCGCAATCTGTGGGAATGTAGACGATGTGGGCGTTATAAGGTAATCTACTCGACCTCCGCAATCTGTGGGAATGTAGACGGCGTGGGCGTTATAAGGTAATCTACTCGACCTCCGCAATCTGTGGGAATGTAGACGATGTGGGCGTTATAAGGTAATGTACTCGACTCTATTGTTGTATTTACTCATATAACTTAAATATAATATAATAATATTCTTCTTAGTATTCTCCTGTATGAAACAAACTTTACTTTAAAATCATACTCTTTATTTACCGTGGGACAAAATCAAGTATTCCTTGTTTTTGTTCAATGATGAACGCAATTGTTGTTTCTAAATATTGTATTCATAAGACTGTTACATAGACTGTAAATATAAGAAATGTGTTAAAATAAAATGAAATTTTAACATGAATAATAAACGTATTTTTATATTAAGATACATAGTGAATAGAGATATACATAATCTTAACTTACGGATCGGTTGGACCAACCATAGCCTTAACTGACTATCATCTTAATCTTCACTTAATCTTGCTGGGGGCAACGGGACCTGCAAACTTAAGTAAACCTGGAAAGGGAACATTTAAAGCGAGCTCTGTGTGTAAGCTCGGTTCCGAGCCTCTAATTCAATTCCAATTGAACTCCTTAAATGACGAACAAGTGATACAAAAAAAAAACAACTATTAAGTTGTTGCGACATGGGCAGGACTTGAAGAAACCTGAAGACAAATGCATCAGTCAACTGACTTAATGACTCCAAAATGCATTTGATCAAATCATGATGAAAGCAAATCTTTCCATTCTTAAGTCAATCTTTGTTAGACAGGTCTCCAGAACTCCGTGATACGAGGGCTGGCTGAAAAGTTCTAAGCCTAACTGTGAAAGACCCATACCAAGTCGATGGTTTTCATTTATTTTTCCACATAGTACCCTTCCAGGTTTACACACATTTGCCAGCGATGCTGTAAGGCCTGCCCGGATGCCGGTCAAGAAGAAATTTTCTTCAGCCATCCTAAAAAGTCATTCACAGCGGAAATGACGTCATCATTACTAGGAAAACGGCGACCGGCTAGTTCCTTTTTCATTTTGGGAAACCGGTGGAAGTCTGACGGGGCCAAATCGGGTGAATAAGGGGGATGGTCAATGAGTTCGAAGCCACAATCATGGATCGCTGACATGGCAAGCACCGATTTGGGAACAGGAGCATTGTCTTGGTGGAACAGGACTCCTTTAGTGAGCATTCCCTGTAGCTTTTATAGCTTCACGCAACTGTCTCAGAAGGTCAGTCAGTATAATTTCTTCCATTGATAGTCTGGCCATTTTCAAGATAGCCAATCAGCAGAATACCCTTGGAATCCCAAAAGACTGAAGCCATCACCTTTCCAGCAGAAGGAACCGACTTGGCTTTTTGGGGGGCTCGTGATTCCGGATGCTTTCATTGTTTAGACTGAATTTTGGTTTCTGGTTGAAAGTGATGAATCCAAGTCTCATCCATGGTTACAAACCTGGCCAAAATATCATCGGGATCTGCTTCAAAACGGCATAAATTGTCACGGGACGTCAGGAATCTGACACGTTTCTGATCCGCTGTCAAGAGCTTTGGCACCCATCTTGCAGAAACTTTTGTCATTCCCAACTTGTTGGTGATAATGTGCTCAACCCTCTCATGAGAGATGCCCACAACACTGGCAATATGTCGAGTGGTCAATCGTCGATCAGCCATCACCGTGTCATGCACCCAGGTAATGTTTTCCGGAATGGTTGCTGTTGAAGGCCTTCCTGGACGCGGGTCGTCGTCAAGGCTCTCTCTGTCACGCTTGAATTCCGCAGCCCACTTCTTTACAGTGGAAAAGGAAGGGGCATCATCCCCTAAAGTGGAGACCATGTCAGCATGTATCTGTGTTGGAGTTAGCCCTTTCAGTTGCAGGTACTTGATGACTACCCTATAGCCAGTTTTGTCCATTTCTGGTGATTTCAATGGGCAGGTTCACAAGATGTTCTGGTACAAAGACAATAATAAGACTACAGTTGCAGTTCTTATGTCTATGATTCATTAAATGATTGTACCTGTTGGTGGCAAAAGTTTGTTTCAATCCGATTGAGATATCCCACTTAGGCTTAGAACTTTTCAGCCAGCCCTCATACCAGGAGTGTTGCCTGGTCACACTTTCAGTAATAGTCCACATTGGTTCCACATGCGACAAGTATTTAGCAAAGTGTACTCCATAGTCCACACATGGGGCCATGTATTACAGTCGTTGTATTAAGTACTGGTGTCGACTACTTAGATTACATGAAACAAGATATCCGTATGCCTGTTACCATATGTTAAAAGCATTTGATGAAAATGGTCAAACTAACTGGGTTTTTTATATAAGACAATTATTGTTTCAAACTGGTCTTCATGTGTGTGGTTGTCTCAGGATTGCGGCGATATGAAATGCTTCGTGGTTATATTCAAACAACGATGTTAAGATATAGAATTCCAAAACTGGCATTAGAAAATCACAAATTCTTCTTTCCTTGATGTTTATTCATCTAAATAAATCACCACTCGAACCAGAAAAATATCTATCTACTTTAGCATGTGGAAGAGATCTTCTTAGAGCTTTATGTAAATTCCGTTGTTTAAGCCATAATCTAAATGTACAGAAAACTCATTTTAATACAACCACAGAGCCATCGTTTAGTTTATGTATGAAATGTAACCGCTATGAAATAGAAATTGAATACCATTTTCTGTTAATTTGTCCTTTTTATAAAAGTAGTAGAGACAATTTAATTCCAAAATGTTACCATGTGCAACCATCTGTCCCAAAATTTATCAATTTTCTATCTACCAGAAATGATTGTGTTATTAAAAACCTGTCCATATATTTAAAAAGACATTTACCTATGTAAATACATATGTCAAAAAAGATGAACGTGTGTTGTAAGAAACTTTGTGCGAGTGCATAGTATATATTATTCCTGTAAATGAACTCTGGGCCATGTGGCCTTCATTCATGAATAAACTTCTTCTACATGGGGTCACACGAGGATGCTATATGACTCCGAGGTTTTACATTTTCAACCAAAACTGAAGAAACTATCGGGATACCATACGGTGAACCAATATAGTAGTCGCGGTATATAATTAATTCGATGATGGCCGAAAGAAAGACCACGTGGAGCATGCAGCCAACTGAAGTCATGACATATAAGATTGAACACCCTTTCATCTCCTGTCCCGGTGGCGCAGTGAGAAAACAGTGAGTTACAATACTGAACATGATATGTGAGGTTCGATTCAAGTCATTTCGTGTGAAGGAAATTGTGACCCTTAACAAGTCAAAAAGCGACATTAGACGCATATTAAAATGCTGTTAAAATAAGTCAACTGTAACAACAAGGTCCTTCAATTCAAATGTAGAAATTTTCAAGCAGGTCTTACAATTCAAATGCAAAACATCTCAGCAGGTTTCGCTTGAAATTGGTACCTATCTAAAGATTACTATGAGTCAGCGAGGTACCTCCAACACTACAGGCAAAAGTGGCAGTAGGTTTGTAGAAACACGCAGACACAAGTTTTCACACGGAGATAATTGAGATAATGATCACATCAACATCTGAAAAATTAGCCCAACAACAGCCGACTCACCTGACTTGCCATATTGATTAAATCGGGGAATTTAATGCTGCTTCCCTTATCCTTCCTGATGTAGTCCAGCAGGGAGCCGTTAACCATCAGCTCCGTGATGATGAGGATGGGCTCCTCACTGCTGCACACGGCCCTCAGCTGAACCAGCTTCTTGTGACGCAGCTGGTGCATGATCTTAGCCTCCTCCAGGAACGCCTCCGGGGACATCGTGCCCGGCTTCAGCGACTTCACGGCAACGTCTAGAATATTCCACAGTTTGCCTGAAATTGGTAAAATCCTGTTAAGCAGTCATAATTTCACTCAGATTATGCCAACTTATTTGCAATTTGGGTCGTAGAGTGAGTGAGTGAGTTTCTTTACGCCGCTTTTAGCAAAATTCCAGCAATATCACGGCGGGGGGCACCAGAAATGGGCTTCACACATTGTACCCATGTCGGGAATCGAACCCGGGTCTTCGGCGTGACGAGCTAACGCTTTAACCACTAGGCTACCCGACCGCCCAAATGGGTCGTAGAAGTGTGCTATTAACACTGTTATGTCGCACAAAGTTAAATCATTGCCCATCAACTTCACAGTACCCATTCACTCCAAGAGAGAGCCTATTCCAAACTGGGACAGTGAACATTTCTACTGAACCGAATTCTTCAAACTCTCGCCATGTCGTACTTTATCACCTGCACATGATTCTAATATAGTGCTCAGCAAAAAGTGTAAAAGAAGTATATATGTGTTAATGTTTATTTTCTTCGCATGCTTTCAAAAAGAGTTTTTTAGTTGTTTATGTATTTTTCAATCTTATATTGACATTCACAACAATCATTTCTGCACATTCTGCGTCATGTATCAACTGAAGATCGTATAATATAAGAGTGAGTGAGTTGGGTTCGAGTCGCTATGAACCGTTTTTCAGTTACATCATAGGGAGTGAGTTGGGTTTAGCGCCGCTTTTAACAGTATTCCAGTTATATCATGGCGTGTCAGCTTAATGTGGCAGGAAAGCCCGAAGTTACATCATAGCTTAACGTGGGAGGAAATGACGAAGGTGTTTTAACGGACAATGTCCTGACAAACCCAGAGAAAAGATATCTTCCCGAGGCAAGGGAGGTAACTAACTATAAAAGTCTAGTTGCCATTGACCAATCAGATTCCATCTCATATCACTTACATTTACTTCATACAAGTCAGGACGATCTGATCGGTAATCAAGATCTATATTGTGACAAAACGGGTCTTACATCACGAAGTGCACCAAATCTCGTGAGCACCTTGATTAAAAACTTGAAAATATTTGGAAAATATCTTTTGACGCCGAGTTGGCGGTACACATGCTTTGCAAATCCTGCATCGACCGTAATATGGATGGCAGTATACAAACCGGATGTCGATTTCGTTACGCGATTTTGTTTGGACTATGCATAGACTCGTTAGTCCAGCCAAAATATACCTCCATAATGCAAGCCCAGTTTGCGAAGGGTAGAAACTGGACTTTTACAGTCAGTTAACTCCCTTGCCTCGAGAAGATTGGCCAAAGGCGAGGCTGAGGTTCCAAACAAGAAGGTGTGCGCGCGTGTGTGATGTATCAGTTTTGTTTGCCGTGTGAAGTAATATTCCAGCTAAACGACATCGGACCTCAAATAATGGAGTCTGGACTAGACAATCCAGTGATTTATTTTATGAGAAACGATCCATGCCCTCGGGGCACGGTGACACACAACCAACCAAGTCACCGAGCCTGACCACCGGTCAAGGGAAAATACAGGGAAAATGAAGCTGCACGGTGATCTATCAGAGAGCATCTTTGAAGGGAAAATAGTTTATACCCGTGAAGATTCCGGGGTAGAATAGGTCTTCAGCAACCCATGCCTGCCGTAAAAAGCGACTATGCTTGTCGTAAAAGGCGACTAACGGGATCGGGTGGTCAGGCTCGCTGACTTGGTTGATGCATGTCATCGATCCCGATGACATTAATCCCTGGATTGTCGGTTCCAGACTCGATTATTTACAGACCGCCGTCATATAGCTGTAATATTGCTGAATGCGGCGTTAAACAACAAACAAAACAAAACAAAACCAAAAACATCCAACAGGGGTTTTGAATTTTGACCAGTTTTCACCACCTACCCCGAGCCTGACAAATATTTTCATTTACATTACAAATTAATTAATGTTAAAATATACGTGGGTTAATGTACTTGGATTATAAGATTGTTGTTGTACGTAATGTCAAACCCGAAGTCCCAACGGGGCCCCAAACAAAGTACAGTAAACTACGTTTATAACGAACACGCATGTTACGAACTGTTGTTGTTTTTGTCCCGGGCATTTGCCGTGCATATGTTGTATATGTGCTTATAAGAACAACGGTTATAACGGACTAAAATTAGTGGTCCCTTTGGGCTCGTTACAACCGTAGTTTAAGGGAGCCATCTCTCTAGATTGAACTGATGAGTGCGGTATATGCATTTAATAAGAATCAATAAGTATCAATCTACCGTGAAAGTATTATTGAGTAGATATGGAACACTGGTTCACCAATTAACTTCCTTGGCCATAAAAAGAACAAATGAATATATACGTAAAGCCATCACATACACACTCCTTATTGAGTTTATTACATTAACACTCCCTTCTTATATCGCTTTGCATTACGACTCCTGTTTTACAATATACTATATGACTGACAACTGTCTGGTCCGTTGGTTGGTTTGTTGTTTAACGCCGCTCTCAGCAATATTCCAATATGACGGCGGTCTGTAAATAATCGAGTCTGGGCCAGACAATCCAGTGAATGACATCATGAGCATCGATCCCAATTGCGTGACTACCCTATCCCGTTAGTCGCATTTTACGACAAGCATAGTCGCCGTTTGCGGCAAGCATGGGTTGCTGAAGCCCTATTCTACCCCGGGTCTTCACGGGTCGTCTGGTCTGAATCCCGAAATTACAGTGCCGTGACGCATCGGCATGAACATAAACATTATTAATGTGCGATTTATTTCTTACCTTTCCACACCTCACCGAAACATCCTTGCCCAAGCTTTTGTTGTGTCTGTACTGCGCTCCGATCCACCTGTAGTTCCCGGAAGTGAACTGGTGGTGGAAGCTTCGGACACGCCCCTGCCAGCTTCCTGCTTATCCCATCTGGATGTTCTGGCGAATATACAGTAAACAAGACTCATAGGACTGATTGCATGCAGAGTTGCGTCCCTTGGGCACGCCAGAAACCTTTGACAGTAGAGCCGTATCATATGCTACGGGGCACGGGTGGCCCAGTCGTCTAAGGCGCCGCAATTCGCTGTGCAGAGTTGCGTCCCCTTGGCACGCCAGGAACCTATGACAGGTACAACCGTATCACGTGCTACGGGGGCACGGGTGGCCCAGTCGTCATTCGCTGTGCAGAGTTGCGTCCCTTGGGTACGCCAGAAACCTATGATTGTGGGTTCAAATCCCGGATCGCCCTCATTATGTTTCTAGGTTTGTCAGCACCATACCCGTGCTCGTGGGTTTCACAGAAGTAAACGTCTGAGACCTGCACCACTTCGGGCTTTCCTCCCACATTAAGCTGATACGCCGTGATATAACTTGAATAATGTCAAAAGCGGCGTTAAACCCAACACACTAACTCACTTACATAGGAGTGATTGTCAATATATAATATCGACGCGAGAGGAAAACCAATCTCGATTGTCTGCCCAGATTCCCTTAGGCGTAAAAGGCAAAATAGTGATGACACCAGGTGTTCGCGAAAAGGGTATCTCCTGTTGTACCGTTGGAATATAAAAATGTCTGTTTGTTGCCTAACGCCACAGCAGTGCTCCTGCCATACAACGGCGCCCTGTAAACAATCGAGTCTGGATCAGACAATCCAGTGATTGTGGACCAGACCGTACAGTGGTAATCCAGTGACTCAACACCCCATCATGAGCTAAGCATTAATTTTTATGACGTGTTACAATACTTATTGATTTTTTCAACAAAAGTAGGAAAGAAATAACATCAAGTTACAAGTTACAAAAAAAGTTCAGAACACAGGCGCACGAATTATTTCTCTTAAAACCAAATCAGACAATATCTTTCCTGTTTTAAAATCCTTACATTGGCTTCCGGTTAAACAGCGGTTTGACTTCAAACTCCTCAGCATAACCTTCAAGTGCCTTCACAATGAAGCTCCCGGATATCTCATAACTCGTCACAAGATACATCCCTGCAAGATCAGGCCCGTGACGATCCGGGGTAGAAAAGGTCTTCAGCATCCCATGCTTGCCGTAAAAGGCAACTAACAGGATCGGGTGGTCAGGCTAGCTGACTTGGTTGATGCATGTCATCGTATCCCATTTGCAAATATTGATGCTCATGATGTCAATCACTGGATTGTCTGGTCCAGACTCGACTATTTACAGACCATCGTTATATAGCTGGAATATTGCTGAGTGCGGCGTTAAACAACAAACCAACAAACATCTCGACGATCTCGGCTACAGCGACAAATCATAGAACGACCTCGGCTACAGTGACACATAACAGTATGGAATGTAATGTAAATAATATTCAATATTTATATATTTCTTTAGGACTTAGAAAAGTATATCTTTTATATGTTACTTATAACGATGCGCCTGGCAAGTTGCACCGGGACTGTTTCATTAAACCTAATATTAAACTGGATATGACAAAATGGACTTGACCAGGAAGACAGCGGATTACATACGTTTATGGTGGTTTACAAGATCTATCATGCTTGAGAATGGTGTCTTCGGGTTGAGAAAGAATCCTCCACTGTCTAATTTCTTGATTCGGTAATGCTTGACACATGGCTTCTTGTGTTGGTCTGCGTCTCGTATAGACAACACGTGGGTCGATTTGTCTGGAACATTAGGAAAACAAGGGGTGAATGAGTTGGATTTTCCTCCGCTTTTAATGTTTGTTTGTTTGTTGTTTAACGCCGCACTCAGCCATATTCCAGCTATATGACGACGGTCTGTAAAATAATCGAGTCTGGACCAGACAATCCAGTGTTTAACATCATGAGCATAGATCCACGCAATTGGGATCGATTACATGTATCAAACAAGTCAGCGAGCCTGACCACCCGATCCCGTTTGTCGCCTCTATCGACAAGCATAGTCGCCTTTTACGGCAAGTATGGGCTGCTGAAGACCTATTCTACCCCGGAATCTTGACGGGTCCCTCCGCTTTTAAACAGTATCTCAGTTATATCACGGTGTTTTTTAGAGGAAGGTCCAAAGTGATGGAGGATCTAGATGTTTAGAAGCATCACTTTGGTTAAACCCATGAACACGAGATTGCTGCTGAAAACCCAGTTCTGGTCAAATCTGATCATCAAATTCTGGGACCTGTGGAGATCAGGGGTAGAATATGTCTTCAGCAACCCATTCTTGCCGTAAAAGGCGACTATGCTTGTCGTAAGAGGATACTAACGGGATCGGGTGGTCAGGCTCGCTGACTTGGTTGATGCATGTCATCGTATCCCAATTACGTTGATCGATGCTCCATGATGTCAATCACTGGATTGTCTGGTCCAGACACGATTATTTACAGACCGCCGTCATATAGCTGGAATATTGCTGAGTGCAGCGTTAAACAACAAACAAACAAAAAAACATTAGATTCTGGCCCGACTAAGGGTGTATTCTCTTCACGGCGAATTCCGATGCCTCAGACTCCGGGGTAGGTATGAACGACGTAACCTATTCCCCAGTGGTAAGATCGATTTGATTCACACAGCATTGAAGTACGTACGAGTTTCATAGCACATATTTTGTAAAAGACATGTTCGATTTCTTTTTTGTAAGTTATTTACTGAGAGAGAGGACAGGGTCAAGTGTATGTCCATCTGCTTAACCCCTTAACATAGGCCTAATTTATGCATGTTTTGGAAAATATATCATTTTTAATATTAAAGAGGAAGAGAATAGCAATTAAAACAATACAAATTAAAAACTCCGACCAGTTGCATTATATATATACATGTAGTGTTCAGAAGGTGTTCGCGCCTCTAAAGATAATATCAATACTGGTTGTATAATCTATGTTCTTTAAATTTGACAACATGGGAAGTAATCGATTTAATCGATCATGCTTTTCGGTGCAATTCTAATACATTCAACATGGGCAAAGTGCACGTTTTGCTGTTTAAGGGTGCTGTGGTATAATGTAGTGGTGAAAGCGTCCGATCGTCACGCCCAAGTCCCGGTTTGGATTCCATGCATAATATTGGTACAATGTCTGAAGTCCATTTCTGGGGTCATCGACTTAATGTCGTTGCAATATTGCTTAACGTGGCGTAAAACCTCCCTCGCTCCTCCACTCACTCACTCACTTACTCACTCACACACCCACCCACCCACCCAGTCACTCACTCACTCACTGACCCAATCACTCACCTGTGGACTCTCGGATAAGGAATGTTCCGGGTTTGTTGCCAGCATGAAGAAGCATGTCATTCGAATCGTTACGATTAAAATCAAACCACCAACTGAAAAATCAAATATTGAATCTTTTATCAAAATTAGCCCTGAACAGTTCATAAGATATCGGCTATGTTAGATGTTTGAGCTCCATCATTCCATGGCGATGTCTCACCACAACTGTCAGCACCAATCCATGATACATTGGCCTCTATGCGCGTACTATACGTAATTACTCGTACAAACAAATATACGAACGTACGAACACATACGCCCCGTGAAGATCCGGGATAGAATTGGTCTTCAGCAACCCATGCTTGCCGTAAAAGGCGACTGTGCTTGACGACTAACGAGATCGGGTGGTCAGGCTCGCTGACTTGGTTGATTCATGTCATCGTATCCCAATTGTGTGGATCGATGTTCATGGTGTCAATCACTGGATTGTCTGGTCCAGCCTCGATTATTTACAGACCGCCGTCATGTAGCTGGAATATTGCTGAGTGCGGCGTTAAACAACAAACCAACCAACCAATCCTTCCGTGCGGACTTACTCTTGTGCTTGCGGCGAATCATCGTCCTTGCACACATAGTTCAAGGGGATGTACCCCTTCTTTCCCGTGACGATGTTGGTGGCCATCCACCAGTCGCTGTCCTGACTGAAACAACAATGTATGAAAATGCAAGTGCCACACAGATGTTATTACACGAGGAGGTGATGCTGAATTTGCTGAATTTACGACAGTGTTACAGAAGGTCTGTATCATACGAGGGTGAAATTCTTAAATTCATATAAGTAGAAATCACGAATGTAGCCACGTCATAATCCATCACAAATATGATCTACACTGAAGAAGCAGCATTGTCTGCAGTAGTACTAGAATTGGCAACCAATACGTTGTCGTAAAAGGTTGGTTGGTTGGTTGTTTAACGCCGCACTCAGCAATATTCCAGCTATATGATGGCGGTCTGTAAATAATCGAGTTTGGACAATCCAGTGATCGATATCGTGAGCAATTGAGATACAATGACATGCATCAACCAAGTCAGCGAGTCTGACCACCCGATCCCGTTAGTCGCCTTTTACGACAAGCATAGTCGCCTTTTACGGCATGCATGGGTTGCTGAAGACCTATTCTACTCCGGATCTTCACGGGTCATATGGATGATAAAGATAGTTACGAAATGGTCAAATATTCATATTCATATACTGAGTATTGTCCACCACGTCGGTGCAATATGTCCGTTACATACAAGTATGCTCTTTGGAATTCACCATTCCATTTGGAAATCATCAGATGCTGAGCAACACCTGTAGACACCTGAGCACCACCTGTAGACACCTGTGTAAACCATATACAGGTACCTGTACATTCCGAAATAGGACGCTAGTGTAAGTGTTTCACACGTGAGACACGCATTGTTATGAGACAAAATAAGCTCGACTGGGATTAACAATTTCATTTGATATCATAAAGTCGTTGCACTCATATCACCGCGTCCATGGTCTAGTGGTAGAGCGTCCGCCCGGAGAGCGGAAGGTCCGGGGTTCGATCCCCGACCGCGTCATACCAAAAGACGTTAAAAGATGGTACTTGTTGTCACATTGCCTGACGCTCGCCATTAAGGGGCTAAAACAAGGACTGGTCGGCTCGGTATACTGTGTCTGAGTGGGATATTGATGTTAAACTGCGGCATGGTATCTTAGTGGGCTAGCACTATAAATCGGCATCAGTCAGGACTAGTACAGCGGCCACACAAACGCACACACACGTGCATGGACGTCGCTATATAAGTGCAATGATCTTGGACGCGACGTTAAACCCCATTTCACCTCACCCAACCCGTTGTACTCATATACAATCAGATGTTCTAACTTAACACTGTATTTTGACCTTGTTTCATCCACCCGAAAGCGGTCTCCCAGTTTGAAGGGCAAATCGTCTTCATGTGTTCCTTTATAGTCGTACATAGCCCGATATATGGTCTCTGGAAACAGTAAGAAAAGTAAAATAGTAAAAGAAATTATTTTGAGTTTGTAATTGAAAAATGAGTAAGTGAGTATGTTTTTACGCCGCTTTTAGCAATATTCAAGCAATATCACGGTGGTGGACACCAGGCTTCACACATCGTACCCATGTCGGGAATCGAACCCGGTTTTCGGCGTGACGAGCGAACGCTTTGACCACTAGGCTACCCGACCGCCCCATTTGAAAATTGAGAGAACTTGTTTATCTATTGTAAAAAGTAATGTGTGTCTGGTCATTTTGTGTAAAAATAAATGGGTTCAATGAAAAATGGGATTAAAAATGAATTTGCAACTAAAATACTCCTACCTTGTTTGAAAATTAAATTTGTGCCGAAATAAGCCAAATTTCTTGATTTTCAAAGATAAGCTGTCTGAGTTACCAATCAGCAGATGTGTATTCTGCGAAATTGTTTGCAGTTTTTAAAAGTTTTCAATCAAATGATTTGTTTTAAAATAAAACCATGTAAGAGTATTCTTTGCCTGACGACTAAGCACCATTACAGTTCATTATTTTATATTATATCGCTAACTTTTAATTATTAATTGAAAATCAAACATATGATAACAACCACTGATAGGTCCCGGTTCGCCCCGATTATGTTTCTAGGTTTGTCAGCACCATACCCGTGCTCGTGGGTTTCGCCGAAGTGGTAAACGTCTGAGACCTGCATCACTTCGGGCTTTCCTCCCACATTAAGCTGACACGCCGCGATATGACTGGAATACTGTTAAAAGCGGCGTTAAACCCAACTCACTCCCTCACTCCACAGATAGGTGTTGTTTCTATTGCTCCTCGGTCTATATGAAACAACATGGTCTTTCTTTGATTACAATCTCAACACACACACACACACACACACACACACACACACACGCATTAATCTGACACGGCGTAATACAACTGGAATATTGATAAACCCAACTCACTCATTTAATCACACACGCTACACATCTATCATTGAACATGTGGAGATATATGCATGTCGCGCCCATATTTCGAGCTTGGACTGGAAATGAGTGAGTGTTGTTTTACACCGCAGTCACCACATACAAAGGCAGACTGTAAATAAACAAAGCGCGGTCAGGAAAACCAGTGGTTGACAGCACGAGCAACAATCCGAGCCGTCGGGGCACAATGACAATAATCAGTAGATACACTCAGCGGAACACGATCCTGCGCATGCGCCCCTTTCAACAAACCGATCATAGCTCTACGACCTTTTAAGTCTATGTTAAAGTATGGGAGTTACGATCATCTTTGAGCTACGCTCGCTTTGTGAAACGGGTTCCAGCTGATTCTTGTCGGCTCATACTAAAATAATAGGATACCTTTGATCTATTCTATCCAGGAATCATCATGGAGACTCTTGTCTTAATAGTTCTAAGTCTTAATAGTTAAACACGTTTTAGTAAAATTAAGAAACTGAGACATTTTAAAACTACTCACTCTCTTGTTTCGGATAAACAGTGATATCATCCATACTGATATTGTTGTGTTTTCCATCTTTTCGGCACTGACAGTTCCCCATAGTGCCTAAAGATCTGGTTCACAAAATGCAAAACCTGGAGAAAAAATTATGTGTTTAATATCACTGACAGACACGATAAACACTAACGCAACAAAATATTAACAAATCATGGGCACTATTATGTGATTAGAAAGGGCGGGTACCATCCAACCATGACCAACGCAAAAAAATGGCACAAAGTAAAATAAAATCGATCAATGAATTGGAGCACTTTGCTCAGATTTTTTTCTCCAATATGGCAAATAGCATTGTATCTATGTGAGCCAACGTTTATTGTGTATCATTGCCTGCATCTATACATGTTTGTTTGTTTGTTTGATGTTTAACGCCGTAGCAATTTTCCAGCCATATGACGGCGGTCTGTAAATAATCGAGTCTGGACCAGACAATCCAGTGATTGACATCATGAGCATCGATCCACGAAATTGGGATCGCTGACATGTATCAACCAAGTCAGCGAGGCTGACCACCCGATCCCGTTCGTCGCCTCTTACGACAAGCATAGGCGCCTTTTACGGCAAGTATGGGTTGCTGAAGACCTAATCTACCCCGCGTTTTCACGGGTCGGGAGGGGGGTAGGGGGGCGTATTGTAGCCACCCTCCTCTCGAGTTCACATAACCTATTTAAAGCTTCCAAATACGCGAGAGGCTAACCCTGTGTTGAAATTATCCGAAAAAAGTTGTCACCCGAGTCGATGTCATATAAACAAGCTATCTACCTACTCCATTACTCACCCAAATATGTCCGTGTTGGGAGACCAGTTTCGTTTCATTGAAAGCTTTTGTCCATGGAGGATGTGTGCGTCATCTATTGCAACGTGCCTACCTATTACCTGACAGGTAACTGCGGCTAAAACACAAGTGGGAACTCCATAGAAAACAACGTCCACGTCACTGACTTCATGCAAGTTGGGCGTCAGTAGGTCTTTATTAAGTGAAGTTCGACAGACGCAGTTTGTTGTATGGCGCGAGTGACTGAATAGTCCGGGCGGTAAGAAGGACGTAGTGTGGTCTTTGTAATAGCTATCGCCAAATGGCGCTTGTATAGAATGGAGAATGTCTTGCATGCTCAGTTCTGGTTATGCCTTAAGTTGTATCTATTGAAAGAGGAAAACATTATTATGTTAATATACGGGTGCGGCACTTCGGTGCATATACCCTCTGCATAATGGTAACTATTGTTCTCTGCAAAAGTCACTTTAGCCCTGAAAAAAATACCCCACAGATACTTTTTTATCGAACACGTCTACGTTCTACGCAACTCCACTGTAAATAACGATATCAGTTAAAGCTTATTCATGTTTGTTTGTTTTGTTCGTTTGTTGTTTAACGCCGCACTATGACGACGGTCTGTAAAATAATCGAGTCTGGACCAGATTATCCAGTGATTGACATCATGAGCATCGATCCACGCAATTGGGATCGATGACATGCATCAACCAAGTCAGTGAGCCGGACCACCCGATCCCGTTAGTCGCCTTTTACGACAAGCATAGTTTCCTTTTACGGTAAGTATGGTTGCTGAAGACCTATTCTACCCCGGATTTTCACGCTTATTAATGTAAAAAAAATATGACGATGTGTGGCTCGTGTGTTGTTGTTTCCTCGAACCCCGGGATTGGCAAACTCTACAACTATACTGACGGGAAAAAGAAACTATACCAAAGTATTTCTTATTAAAAAAATATCACATCAGCACTGAACTTGAGTTTTCATTGTCAAACAAAATCGCATGAACGCAGCTTCATCATTACTGAGCTTAAAAAATCCTGCTTCTTCCCGAATATGGACTTGATCGAACTTTTTTCATTCAAAATAGGATGCACGTGCATCACGACAAAATGGCTCGGATCAGTATAAAATCCGCCAATCTGTATGTTTTACACCACAACCGTACCGACCACAACAGCTGACATGCCGAGACTGACCGCACAAGAGCGAGAGAGAGCAACTGGGATGTTGCAGTTGGGAGCACGCCATGCCCATGTTGCTCGCATCTTCAACTGCACAAGAACAACGATAACGAGGCTGCAGACACGACTCACACAAACAGGTCGTACAGATGACAGGCCAAGAAGTGGAAGACCCAGGGTCACAACCGCCAATGAAGATCGGTACCTCCGCATCTTACATCTACGCAATCGTTTCGTCACTGTGACGTCATCGGCAGCCACAGCCTTACATCATGTGGTCAGCAGAAGGACAGTTGCCAGGCATCTTCGACAACACGGAATTCGGGCCTACCGGCCCTTCCGCGGGATGACCTTGAGCCGTCGTGACGGACGTAACCGCCTCCATTGGGCAAGAATGGTACAGCGGTGGCAAAACAGGAACTGGCAACGAATTCTATTCTCTGATGAGAGCAGGTTTCAGTTGTATCGAGCTGATGGCCGTGTGCGTGTGTATCGTCGGAGAGGAGAGAGAACAGCCCAATGTTGTGTTCAGGACACCGTGCCATTCGGTGGTGGAAGCGTCATGGTCTGGGGTGGGATTTGCAGGGACCGTACAACAGACCTGGTTGTCTTTGACCGTAATTTAAATGCTCAAGTCTACATCGACCATGTATTGCGTCCTGTGGTGCTTCCCTTCCTCCAGAGGAATCCTAGAGTAAGCTTCCAACAGGACAACGCTCGCCCCCACACCGCCAGGATCACCAGAGACTTCCTAACTGCAAATAATGTAAACCTTTTGCAATGGCCAGTAAGATCGCCTGACTTAACACCCATTGAGCACTTGTGGGACTATCTGGACAGACAAATAAGGGAAAGAAATCCCCCTCCGTCAAGTCGTCAAACGTTGATTCAGGCACTGTTGGAAGAATGGCGAGCCATCCCCAATGACGTCATCAGGGATCTTGTAAACTCCGTGCGGCGACGTGTCCAAGCCTGTATTCAGAGCAATGGAGGCCATACAAGATACTGACAGTAATGTATTTGTGCAAAAAATTCGTTTTCTGTTTTCGTTCAGATGATTTGTTTATTTTGCAAATTGACATTTACCCCCTGTGTCATTCCTTACCTGATATTGAAGTTCCTGTTAGTGCCACCTTTGTGGAATTTGAATCAGAAGATTGTCAGATAAATTTCCTTTCCAACTCACAACACTATATTTTTGTGATATATTTGATAATGTTGTTAACACCAAATCAATGTTGGTATAGCTTCTTTTGCCCGTCAGTTTATGACTATGACCACGAGTGCCACGGCTGATCTACATCTATTCGTCCTAATGAGGTTGCACTGTACATCTTGCAACTGTTACAACTGATCTACATGAGTCCACATTAATAAGGTTGCATTATATATCTTACTACTGTCTGATTTGATCTACGTCTGTTCGCACTAATTAGGTTACACTATATGTCATACAGCTTCCACAATTGAGCTGTATCTGTCCGAACTAACGAGGTTGTCTTCAAATGTTGCCACTAATCTACGTACTCGCCTGTGCCGCAATAACGAGGTTGTCTTCCAACTGTTACAACTGACCTATGTACGCATCTGTCCGCACTAATGAGGTTGTCTTCCAACTGTTACAACTGACCTACGTACGCATCTTTCTGCACTAATGGGGTTGTCTTCAAATGTTGCCATTAATCTACGTACTCGCCTGTGCCGCAATAACGAGGTTGTCTTCCAACTGTTACAATTGACCTACGTACGCGTCTGTCCGCAATAATGAGGTTGTCTTCAAATGTTGCCACTAATCTACGTACGCATCTGTCCGCACTAATGAGGTTGTCTTCCAACTGTTACAACTGACCTACGTACGCATCTGTCCGCACTAATGAGGTTGTCTTCCAACTGTTACAACTGAACTACGTACGCTATTGTCCGCACTAATGAGGTTGTCTTCCAACTGTTGCCACTAACCTACGTACGCGTCTGTCCGCACTAATGAGGTTGTCTTCCAACTGTAACAACTGACCTACGTAAGCGTCTGTCCGCACTAATGAGGTTGTCTTCCAACCGTTACAACTGACCTACGTACGCGTTTGTCCGCACTAATGAGGTTGTCTTCAAATTGTTACAACTGATCTACGTTTGTCCGCATTAACGAGGTTATCTTCAAATGTTACGACTGATCTACGTACGCGTTTGTCCGAATTAACGAGGTTATCTTCAAATGTTACAACTAATCTACGTACGCGTCTGTCCGCACCAACGAGGTTGTTCTTCAAATGTTACTACTGACCTACGTACGCGTTTGATCTACACCAATCCGTGAGATTACAATATTTTTACACGTGAAGATCCGGGTTAGAATTGATCAACAACCCACGCTCGTCGTAAGATACGATTAACAGGATCAGGTGGTCAGGCTCGCTGACTTGATTGATGCATGTCATTATATCCAAATTGCGTAGATGGATGCTTATGATGTCAATCACTGGATTGTCTGGTCCAGACTCGATTATTTACAGACCACCGTCATTTAGCTGGAATATTTCTGAGTGCGGTGTTAAACAACAAACAAACAAAACATGTTAAGAGTGCGTGTGAGAGGTATCACCACCAAACAACACCACAGCAGTATTTGTGAGTGAGGCGTGAAACAAACAAACAAACAACACAATTTTGATTTATTTCTCTCCCGACCTCAATGACCCTTGATGAAAACCAATTCAGTATATTGCAAACATCATTTAATAACAATAAACAAAACAATAACAACAAATGTTTTGTAAGCGCTTATCTAGAGAAAATTCAAAGAAAATTGTATGAATGATCAATGGGTGATATATGACCCGTGAAGATCCGGGGTAGAAGAGGTCTTCAGCAACCCATGCTTGCCGTTAAAGGCGCCTATGGTTGTCGTAAGAGGCGACAAACGGGATCGGGTGGTCAGGCTCGCTAACTTGGTTGAAGAATGTCATCGATCCATTTTCGTGGATCGATGCTCATGATGTCGATCACTGGATTGTCTGGTCCAGACTCGATTATTTAAAGACCGCCGTCATATAGCTGGAATATTGCTGAGTGCGGCGTAAAACAACAAACCAACCAGCCAATGGGCGATATTGTTGACATTAGTACAACGGGAAAGTGTACGGTAAGATATATATCACGGGTGGCGTATATAACTACATACAATAATTCATACTTGTACTTGGTACAATTCGATGTCTATAATTACATACAATAATTCATACTTGTACTTGGTACAATTCGATGTTAAACTACATACAATAATTCATACTTGTACTTGGTACAATTCGATGTTTAACTACATACAATAATTCATACGCGTACTTGGTACAATTTGATGTATAACTACAAACAAACATTCATACTTGTACTTGGTACAATTCGATGTTAAATCTAACTCAAAGCAAAGAGTCCAGATTGTGCACTAAAACAGGTAATGAAATAGTTGACAGACTAAACCATGGACCACTGTCTTCGATACATCGAGGGTTAATTACGTGGTACGCAGTGGATCGGATATTCCTACGAATTGATTTGTCAGTGCGACACTAAAGGATAATAAGCATGACATCCCATTGAGTTCTAAAATGTTGAAACCCTCACAGACCCTCCAAATTAATAAGAATCTACATCGACACGTCGCTAAAAACAATAGGCCGAAGTTGTTATCAATACAGGTTCTACTACACCAAATCAGCCTTCAGTGCAGATCGAGAGATATCTGCAGGCTGTGAATGGAGGATATTCTGTACGATTTTTATGTCTTTCAAATGTACATCCATCCAGTTATTAAAACTGACCATGTTTTTCTATATTTAGTACTGTCTTTTTCAACATGATGACTTATGCTGAATATGGCCACAGCTATTTTCAAGTAGGTGACATTTGGTGCGAAACTGGGGGTGGTGTGTTTAGCTTCCTGTACTCGGAAAAGGAGCTGGCTAAGCTAGTCATTTTTTTATTTTTTTTATTACTGCTCTAAGGCCAAACTGTGCACACACGTACAGGTAATAGCTGTTGAATGCTTAGTTATTTTAAAAAAAAATATAACGTTACTATAGAAGTCTATGGGAAAACATTTGGTTGTGTGTAACCTAAATTTGTTCGAAAGTATGACATTTTTTATGGATAGCCACTTCTGTTATTCTTTATACTACGTTTCAGAGCCACTTCTTGCATCTTCACCTGAAAGCTTGGTAAATGCATTCACCTGATGAAGGAGCAAGAGTGAGTGAGTGATTTGGGTTTAACGCCGCTTTTAATAGCATTACAGTTATATCGCGGCGTGTCAGCTTAATGTGGGAGGAAAGCCCAAAGTTATGCAGGTCTCAGACATTTACCACTTCGGTGAAACCCACGAGCACGGGTATGGTGCTGATAAACCTAGAAACATAATCGGGGCAAACCGGGATCGAAGGAGCAAGAAGTAGCTCTGAAACGTCGTACAAAGAATAAAAGAAGTTGCAATCCATAAAAAGTGTCATTTATTCATGTTCTCCCAACTTCTAAATGCCTATCACGTTTTCTAATTTACCTCATAGATGGGTATGAATCACTGCTATGAATCGCACCAGAATATATCCAACCACGTTTCCCAGTGTCTCACTCAACAATCCCACCATTGTTATGGTGTTCAAATCTTCCATCATCCCAACTCGTTTAGGCAATTTCTCAGCACCAGACTCTGAAGCTGATTGGCCCAGAAGACCTGGAATACACAGCAACCTTTTCCGGTTGTTGCGTCTATACCCACATTGCATCAATGCTACGGTGGCCCATAAGGTTGATGTTTAACTTACTTTTATCTTAACCTTTTGCAAATTAACACAATCTGCCATACAAATATGTGATAAATCATGTATAAAAACATCCGAAAACATAGAAAATGTACTTTTAAGTAGCTTTTGAGTCGTTGAAATGTGAAGTGAAAATGTCAAAAACCAAAACGAAAAGGTCAAAAAATGAAATGAAAATGTCAAAAACACAAAACGAAAATGTCAAAAACTAAAATGAATACACAGAAAACTATTTCCACCGCGGTGATAATATTACCACCGCGGTGATAATATTACCACCGCGGTGATAATATTTACACCGAGGTGAAAACTATTTCCACCGCGGTGATAATATTTACACCGCGGTGGAAATAGTTTTCTGTATTTTCATTTTAGTTTTTGACATTTTCGTTTTGTGTTTTTGACATTTTCGTTTTAGTTTTTGACATTTTCGTTTCGTTTTTCAGCGATTCAATATCTTCTTTACATATGATTTATCACATATTTGTAAGACAAATCGTGTTAATTTGCAAAAGGTTACGATAACAGTAAGTGAAATATCAAAATATTGAAAAACAGACTCCGTGTCCCTTATGGGCCACCGTACAATGTATGTAGCACCTCTGGTGATTTCTTTGAGGAACAAAGGTTAATCCTGGAATTCACATCATTAATTTTCACCCCGAGGGATACACATCTGAATGCAGCGTTCGAATGTCCATCTCTGCATCCTATCCACCAAGCTCCTCACAGCGATATCCCGTTCGCGGAGCTCTCAATTACCATCGCTGCCACCAGTCAAAACTCCCCACAGTGATAGATGACCAAAACCATGCTTGGAGTTGAACTCGCAGCCGATTGACAGTTGTTTGCAAACAAGTGACGACTGTCGTGACGCCGAATACACTTACCCCTGCTAAATTACTTTCATTGTTTGTCAATTTGAATTTCTATTTCATTAAAACTATCATGTATTTGATAATGTAAGAATGTAAGGGAGAAGTTGGTTGACTGTCCATTAGTCTGCAATCTCGAACCAATCTGATTATACAAACAACAAAGTAAATTCATCTGGAAAACATGGTCAGTTGTAAACCTTTTCAAAATGAATTTTCAAAATGGCATTCCCAAACACATAAACAAAATTAGTGAACGTTACTACATTTGGGGTTAGAGGGTAAATTTCAAGATTCTTGTAATGGCCGCGCCCACACTGATGTTACCGAGAGTGTAACGAAGGTGCCACGCGCTGGCATGGAGCTTGAGACTTCAGTTGATGATCACATAGCATCTGTAGCACTGTATGCCGACTCTGTTGAGACGAGGTAATCAGCAAATAGCTCGTGGAGGAATGCGAACGTTGGACGATCGTCAGGGTACTTGTTCCAGCACTTGAGCATGACGTCATAAAAGGAATCTGGGTAGACGATTGGGCCAGTCGGCCTGGGCATCCGGTAGTTACCATTGTCAATCATATCTAGCACTTCGGTTCCTCGCCAACCTGGGAAATATATATATATATGACGTTATTGTGAACTGTATAGCAATAAGGATACGCGTCAATATAATCAATTTAATTTAGGTAAAATTCTGATGATTTCAGTATATAAACTAAAGTGAGTGAGTGAGTGCGTTGGGTTTAACGCCGCTTTTAACAGTATTAGTTATATCGCGGCGTGTCAGCTTAATGTGGGAGGAAAGCCCGAAGTGATGCAGGTCTCGGACGTTTACCACTTCGGGGGGACCCACGAGCATGGGTATGGTGCTGACAAACCTAGAAACATAATCGGGAATCGGAAATTCGAACCACAGGAGTCCGTATCTAAAAATAGACGCCCTCATGCATATTCATGACCATCTCCACACGCGAGCCCGAAGGGCGAGCTCGCGTGTGGAGATGGTCATGAATATGCATGAGGGCGTCTATTTTTAGATACGGACTCCTGTGTTCGAACCCACAATCATAGGGTTAACTAACGTGTTTTCAGGGTAAGTTAAATCTTCAGTGGGGCATCCTATTATACTGCATACTACGTCTTCGACTTGAATGAGTGACGTCGGTTTAAACGTCGCGTTCAAGCGAGCGTGTATGCGTGTGTGCGTACGTACGTGTGTGTGTCTGTCTGTTTGTACTATTTTAATGCCTTATAGTGCTAGCCCACTGAGATACCATGCCGCAGTTTCACATGGATACCCTACGCAGACACAGTATACAGACTCCGAGCCGACCAGTCCTTGTTTTAGCCCCTTAATGCCGAGCGCCAGACAGGGTAAGAACAAGTACCATCTTTTGACGTGTTTTGGTATAGGAAGGAGGGTCCGAAATCACACATATTTTTAGAAGTTTAATGTTTAGTGGAATCTAGGAGTACAGGGGCCACAAGGCACAGCTGTGCCTCGACGACTTGACACCCCGTGCCACCCCACCCCGTGCCACCCCACCCCACCCCTTTATGAAAAAGGGGATACTGACCTGGGTATGGTACCTTTCCAAACGTGATCATTTCGTACAGGACGACACCAAACGACCACACATCCGACTTGACTGAGAACATCCTCAAATTGACAGCCTCAGGAGCCGTCCACTTGACAGGGAACTTTGTATCTAAACGTGGGAAATAACATTAGTTTTATCTTTCAGTAGTGAACGTATGCAAGGTTTGGTAGTTTCAACCATAGCAAACCTAGTTAACTCCGCCAAGACTAATTAATTAAACCTATGATCAATGGTGGTTTTCATGAAATTTATTTATTTATTTATTTTTTTTTTCATTTATTTATTTATTTATTTATTTATTTATTTATTTATTTATTTATTTATTTATTTATTTATTTATTTATTTATTTATTTATTTATTTATTTATTTATTTATTTATTTATTTATTTATTTATTTATTTATTTATTTATTTATTTATTTATTTAATGTATACGTACATTCTGTGGCCTTGTAGACTTCATCATCTAGAATTCTTGACAGGCCGAAGTCGGCTACCTTGACGTCATAGAATTCTCCTACGAGTACGTTTGCCGCTCTCAGATCTCGATGGATGAAATTCTGACTCTCTAAATACGCCATACCTTCAGCAATCTGTATAGATATGGAAAACATACCGCGTGTTAAACAGTTTTGAATTTTGTTCTTTAATTTATAGATACTATCATAACAGAAATTATATCTACACCAGCTTCATGTCGCACTGTTAATCCAATTTCGGTGTGTAGATCTGACCGTAACCCTTGACTCGCACTGACAAAACAAGGCCCCGTTCAACAAAGCTATCTTAGCTACTGTAAGGCAATGGCACACAAATGGTGACCACAATCGTAGAACTAGGATCGTTTTAATGAACGAGGTCAAGGTCAGCATGGTAAATTATATAAATATACGTCAGACTTTCTCCGCACCTGAGGGGGGCACGGGTGGCCCAGTCGTCTAAGGCGCCGCGATTCGGTGTGGGGATTCGAACCCGTTTCTTTGGTGTGACGAGCGAATGCTTGAACCACTAGTCTACTCCATCGCCCCGTATATGACAGTTACAACCGTGTCATTTGCAACGGGGGCACGGGTGGCCAAGTCGTCTAAGGCGCCGCAATTCGCTGTGCAGAGTTGCGTTCCTTGGGCACGCCAGAAACCTATGATTGTGGGTTCGAATTCCGGTTCGCCCCGAGTATGTTTCTAGGTTTGTCAGCACAATACCCGTGCTCGTGGGCTTCACCGAAGTGGTAAACGTCTGAAACCTGCATCACTTCGGGCTTTCCTCCCACGTAATCTGACATGCCGTGATATAACTGGAATATTGTTAAAAGCGGCGTTAAACCCAACTCACTCACTCACTACGCACCTGAGATGCCATGCTTATGATGTTGAGGAATCGAATCTTCTGCCCTTGATCCTTCCTGATGTAGTCCAGCAGGGAGCCGTTAACCATCAGCTCCGTGATGATGAGGATGGGCTCCTCACTGCTGCACACGGCCCTCAGCTGAACCAGCCTCTTGTGACGCAGCTGGTGCATGATCATAGCCTCCTCCAGGAACGCCTCCGGGGACATCGTGCCCGGCTTCAGCGACTTCACGGCAACGTCGATCCCGTTATGTAATTTTCCTGAACACAGCAGACAGATAATTGCAATGATTACTGTACATTTTGTTAAGTATTCATCATCACCAAACGATTAAAGGGAGACTCCCGGCCTCCAGAGTACCACAACCTTGACCTTTACTCACTCGTTAGAGCGATTCATGAATGTATGTCCAAACTACGGCTTTTTTGAGTACCCTGAAGCATGGATTATTTTATTAATTCAACCACTTCGGAAATGGTCATGTAAACCAACAAGGTATTAAAGCACCTATGCAGAATAACAATAGAAGATACAAGTACATCAGTAACGTGTAAGACCCGTGAATATCCGGGGTAGAATAGGTATTCAGCAACCCATGCTTGCCGTAAAAGGCGACTATGCTTGTCATAAGAGGCGACTAACGGGATCGGGCGGTCAGGCTCGCTGACTTGCAATTGGTTGATGCTTGTCATCGGTCCCAATTGCGTGGATCGACGCTTATGATGTCAATCACTGGATTGTGTGGTCCAAACTCGTTTATTTTTAGACTGCCGTCATTTAGCTGGAATATTGCTGAGGGTGGGTTAATTAACAAACAAAGGACAAAGAAAGAATTAATATTGCATAGGATGTGTTCAAGAAAGCAAAGCAGGAAGATAGTGCGACTTCGTTCTGATGATTCTAATCATTGAAAGATTATGCAGGAAATCCACCCACCTTTCCACACCTCTCCGAAGAATCCCGAACCAAGCAGTACAGACGTCGTGAGGGCATCTCGCGCTACTTCCAAATCCAGGAAGGCGACGTCGGGTGCGGACTTGGGACACGCCTTCTTCAGCACCAGACACACACCGTCTGCTTGCTCTGGGGAGTAGGGATGAACATTACAAAGTATCCAAATGGTAAACAGTTGGTTGGTTTGTTTGTTGTTTAACGCCGCAAATGGTAAACAGATGATAACGAGTGAGTGAGTGGGTAGGTTTTACGCCGCTTTTAGCAATATTCCAGCAATATCACTGCGAGGGACACCAGAAATGGGCTTCACACATTGCACCCATGTCGGGAATCGAACCCGGGTCTTCGGTGTGAGGAGCGAACGCTTTAACCACTAGGCTACCCGACCGCCCGATGATAATGAGACCATATAGAAGTTCACGTGTGCCCTTAATGTAAAGCTTATGTGTTAGTCGTTATTAAATACCGGCATCTTCATATTCATATTGAAGCATGTATGACATTTAAGTGAGTGAGTGAGTGAGTATGGTTTTACGCCGCTTTTAGCAATATTCCAGCAATATCACGGCGGGGGACACCAGAAATGGGCTTCACACATTGTACCCATGTCGGGAATCGAACCCGGGTCTTCGGCGTGACGAGCGAACGCTTTAACCACTAGGCTACCCGACCGCCCTATGACATTTAAGAATGAATATATAAATTGACAATGCAAGAGAATTAACAGACTAGGTATTCTGCCGAAACAGATTCCACTTGTCGTAAAGGGCAAATAGCTGTGGAAATTATATGAACGGACCACAGGAAATCAGTGATGACAGCAGGTGTTCGCGAAAATGGTAGGCGTGTCCTGCCCTACCGGTAGTACCGCCATGCTTACAATTTGTATAAAAAAGAACGTCTTGCCTGACGTCAGCCTGTAAACAAACCAGACAATCAAGTGATCGATGAACCAGAAAATTACCACGTTTCAGGACAAGGGATTGGACTTACTCTTGTGATGGTTGATGAGATCTACCATGTTAGGAAATGTTCTCTTTGTGTTTATGTAGCAGCCGCCATTGTCTAGTTTTCGGATGCGGTAGTGTTTGACACTTGGCTCCTTGCCTTGGTCTCTCACAGATAGCACAAAGGACGTTTTGTCTGAAACAAAGATGAATGTCGATAATTAGTGGCTACTCTTGGAGCATGATGAGAGATTGCGGAGAAAAGTGACTGAGTTTCTCTACATCGACAACATTCGCATCACAAAGTGAGAAGGCGACTTTGCTTGTCTATAGAGGCGACTAACGGGATCGGATGGTCAGGCTCGCTGACGTGATTGATGCACGTCATTGTATCCCAATTGCGTGGATCGATGCTCATGATGTAAATAACAAACCAAACCGAACCAAAACCACAAAGGGAGAGCTACTACTACCTGTGTGATATTATTGTTCAATATTACTCTATTTACATGTGGGTGTCACGTGCTAAATGTGAGGAATACATGTCTCAAAGTGACGGCGAACCCTTGAACCTGATGCCACTCGAGTAACAGATAATATGTTCATACATTATCTGATGCCCCGCGAGTAACAGATAATGTGTTCATACATTATCTGATGCCCCGCGAGTAACAGATAATATGTTCATACATTATCTGATGCCCCGCGAGTAACAGATAATATGTTCATACATTATCTGATGCCCCGCGAGTAACACATAATATGTTCATACTTAACCTTATGACTCACGAGTAAGAGATAATATGTTCAGACTCTACTCGATGCTTCACGAGTAACAGATAATGTATTCATACTTAACCTGATGCTTCACGAGTAACAGATAATATGTTCATACTTAACCTGATGCTTCACGAGTAACAGATAATATGTTCAGGCTCTACTCGATGCCCCGCGAGTAACAGATAATGTGTTCATACTTAACCTTATGACTCACGAATAACTGATAATATGTTCATACTTTGCCCGATGCTTTACGAGTAACAGATAATGTATTTGTACTTAACCTGATGCTTCACGAGTAACATATATGTTCAGACGCTACTCGATGCCCCGCGAGTAACAGATAATGTATTTGTACTTAACCTGATGCTTCAAGGGTAATAGATAATATGTTCATACTTTGCCCGATGCTTCACAGGTAACAGATAATATGTTCATTCTTTACCTGATGCTTCACGAGTAACAGATATGTGTTCATACTTTACCTGATGCTTCACGGGTAACAGATAATATGTTCATACTTCGCCCGATGCTTCATGAGTAACAGATAATGTGTTCATACTTTACCTGATGCTTCACGAGTAACATATATGTTCAGACGCTACTCGATGCCCCGCGAGTAACAGATAATGTATTTGTACTTAACCTGATGCTTCACGAGTAACATATATGTTCAGACGCTACTCGATGCCCCGCGAGTAACAGATAATGTATTTGTACTTAACCTGATGCTTCAAGGGTAATAGATAATATGTTCATACTTTGCCCGATGCTTCACAGGTAACAGATAATATGTTCATTCTTTACCTGATGCTTCACGAGTAACAGATATGTGTTCATACTTTACCTGATGCTTCACGGGTAACAGATAATATGTTCATACTTCGCCCGATGCTTCATGAGTAACAGATAATGTGTTCATACTTTACCTGATGCTTCACGAGTAACATATATGTTCAGACGCTACTCGATGCCCCGCGAGTAACAGATAATGTATTTGTACTTAACCTGATGCTTCACGAGTAACATATATGTTCAGACGCTACTCGATGCCCCACGATTAACAGATAATGTATTTGTACTTAACCTGATGGTTCACGGGTAATAGATAATATGTTTTATACTTTGCCCGATGCTTCACAGGTAACAGATAATATGTTCATTCTTTACCTGATGCTTCACGAGTAACAGATAATGTGTTCATACTTTACCAGATGCTTCACAGGTAACAGATAATATGTTCATACTTCGCCCGATGCTTCATGAGTAACAGATAATGTGTTCATACTTTACCTGATGCTTCACGAGTAACATATATGTTCAGACGCTACTCGATGCCCCGCGAGTATCAGATAATGTATTTGTACTTTACCTGATGCTTCACGGACCAGGAACGTGCCGGGTTCGATGCCAGGAGAAAACAGCAAGTTATTGGAATCGTTTCGATCAAAATCAAACCACCATCTGCAAACAAGAACCAGAACATGAGCACGTTGGGAATGTCTTAATGTCTTAATGTCTTCACAAACAGACATCAATGATTGGGCGGACATTTGATAAGACCATATGAGGGCGACATCGCTTGGTGTTCCTGACATCTTTCTAGGGACATATGCCCCATCATTAGACATTTGAATATTCTGTCGACTCATAAAGAAGTTCCAAAGGTTAAACAAATTCAAGTTTAAATCTAAACGTCATTTTCATATGTTTGTATCCGTTTATATCAAATATGTGTTATTGCTGCAGATATGTATACTAATCTCTTGTTTTAATGATATGACCATGGACTAGACAGGGATCCGACATCCCGCTGAATGCTTCTTGTCTATTGATGATACAACCATGGGCAAGACAAGGATCCGACATCCAGCTGAATGCTTCTTGTCTATTGATGATACAACCATGGGCAAGACAAGGATCCGTCTTGTCTATTGATGATACAACCATGGGCAAGACAAGGATCCGTCTTGTCTATTGATGATACAACCATGGACAAGACAAGGATCCTTCTTGTCTATTGATGGTACAACCATGGACAAGACAAGGATCCTTCTTGTCTATTGATGATACAACCATGGACAAGACAAGGATCCTTCTTGTCTATTGATGATACAACCATGGACAAAACAAAGTTCCGGCATCCAGATGAATCCCTCTTGTCTACTGATGATACGAGTGAGTTTGGTTTAACGCCGCTTTGAACTGTTTAGAGTATTCCAGTTATATCACGGCGTGTCAGCTCAATGTGGGAGGAAAACCCGAAGTGATGCAGGTCTTAGACGTCTACCACTTCGTTGAAACCCACGAGCACGGGTATGGTGCTGACAAACCTACAAACATAATCGGGGTGAACTGGGACTCGAGCCCACAATCATAGGCTTCTTGCGTGTCCAATGGACAGCGAATTTGACGACTGGGCCACCGGTGCCCCCACTGATTATACGGCCATTGACAACCTGTATGTTTCGCGTCAACTACTTCCCTGTCCTAGGCCCCACGTTGATACCACATATACTTACTCCTTTGTCTCCCTGGACTGATCATCCTTGCACACATAGTTACTGGGAATGTAGCCCGTCTTCCCTGTCCTAGGCCCCACGTTGATACCACATATACTTACTCCTTTGTCTCCCTGGACTGATCATCCTTGCACACATAGTTGCTGGGAATGTAGCCCGTCTTCCCTGTCCTAGGCCCCACGTTGATACCACATATACTTACTCCTTTGTCTCCCTGGACTGATCATCCTTGCACACATAGTTGCTGGGAATGTAGCCCGTCTTCCCTGTCCTAGGCCCCACGTTGATACCACATATACTTACTCCTTTGTCTCCCTGGACTGATCATCCTTGCACACATAGTTGCTGGGAATGTAGCCCGTCTTCCCTGTCCTAGGCCCCACGTTGATACCACATATACTTACTCCTTTGTCTCCCTGGACTGATCATCCTTGCACACATAGTTGCTGGGAATGTAGCCCGTCTTCCCTGTCCTAGGCCCCACGTTGATACCACATATACTTACTCCTTTGTCTCCCTGGACTGATCATCCTTGCACACATAGTTGCTGGGAATGTAGCCCGTCTTCCCTGTCCTAGGCCCCACGTTGATACCACATATACTTACTCCTTTGTCTCCCTGGACTGATCATCCTTGCACACATAGTTGCTGGGAATGTAGCCCGTCTTCCCTGTCCTAGGCCCCACGTTGATACCACATATACTTACTCCTTTGTCTCCCTGGACTGATCATCCTTGCACACATAGTTGCTGGGAATGTAGCCCGTCTTCCCTGTCCTAGGCCCCACGTTGATACCACATATACTTACTCCTTTGTCTCCCTGGACTGATCATCCTTGCACACATAGTTGCTGGGAATGTAGCCCGTCTTCCCTGTCTCTATGTTAGTTGCCAGCCACCAGTCGTCGTGCTGGCTGAAATTCGTAAACACAAAATGGGGAATATGAAATGCACTTTAGCATAGGTTACAGACAGTTGTGTAGAATATAGTACTATCATATATCTAACCAATAGGTGATCGCTGTGTATGGTGTCTGGTGCAAATATTTTTGATAAATATGGATGCGTGGTCTTGGCAATGCATTCTAGAAGCGTGGGGGCTTTTTATTATATGGTTAGACATTGATCGGAAGGCATATATATTAAATCAGAAATAAATGACAGACACTACGTCGATTGTTGTTACGTGGCTTATTGCTTGAATCACGAGGGAAAACACCTACAGTTTCCAGAGCACAAGATGCTATTTTTAGCGAACACTCACTGTGTGTTAATGTGGGTTTTTTGTTATTGTTTTGTTTGTTGTTTAACGCTGCACTCACCAATATTCCAGCTGTATGACGGCGGTCTATAAATAATCGAGTCTGAACCAGACAGTCCGGTGATTGACATCATCCGCAACGATCAGCTACGCTACAAACTGGGATACGATGTTTGTTTTTTTGTTTGTTTCTTGTCTAACGCCGCACTAAGAAATATTCCAGCTATATAACGGCGGTCTGTAAATAATCGAGTCTGGACCAGACAATCCAGTGATTGGCATCGATCCACGCAGTAAGGATACACTGACATGCATCAACCAAGCAAGCGAGTCTGACCACCCGATCCCGTTAGTCGCCTCTTACCACAAGCATAGTCGCCTTTTACGGCAAACATGGGTTGCTGAAGACCTATTCTACCCCGGATGTTCACGGGTCTGCAAAGTGAGTGAGTGAGTGAGTTTGGTTTTACGCCGCTTTTAGCAATATTCCAGCAATATCACGGCGGGGGACACCAGAAATGGGCTTCACATATTGTACCCATGTCGGGAATCGAAGCCGGGTTTTCGGCGTGACGAGCGAACGCTTTAACCACTAGGCTACCCGACCGCCCCGGGTCTGCAAAGAAGTAACATAGTATAGTTCTCACAAACAGCTGCGAAGACATATGACATACGTTATATGACATGTCACAATATGCACGAATAATCGCGTTTATTCTTATTGTTTGAGGTAACAAAACATTCGCTATGACAAGGATGACAAGAAGCAGTCCCAAACCTCGATTCATCAACGTGAAAAAAATCTCCTTTCTTGAAGGACAAATCGTCTTCGTTTGTGCCAACAAAACTAAACTGCGCCAAATATTGGAACCCTGCAAACAAAACAAACATATAATTCATTGTGCCTAGTAAATCTTGACATATATTGAAAATATTTCAAATTGTCTAAGTTAATTTTAAAGTGGTTTGACGCTAGCCCTAGCAATATGTTTATTCATCATTTAAAATATAGCAGGAACTTTCCTTATTACATGTATATTCACGATATGAAGAACATAAGATCAATCAATGTTGATGTTATTCTTATTTATCCAATGTGTACTACTCAAAAGAAGTTAGGGAACAGCCGATTCTTTCATATTACGGGACCGCCTCCGTGGTCTAGTGGTAGAGCGTCCGCCCGGAGAGCGGAAGGTCCGGGTTCGATCCCCGACGGCGTCATACCAAAAGACGTTAAAAGATGATACTTGTTGTTACCCTGTCTGGTGCTCGGCATAAAGGGGCTAAAACAAGGACTGGTCGGCTCGTAGTCAGTACACTGTGTCTGAGTGGGGTATTCATGTTAAACTGCGGCATGGTATCTCAGTGAGCTAGCACTATAAATCGGCATCAGTCAAGATTAGTACAAGCAGCCATTTAAACCCCATTTTACCTCACCTCATACTACGATAGCATGGCAGATTAATTATAGTAGTTGGAGTGAGTGAGTGAGTTGGGTTTAACGCCGCTTTTAACAGTATTCCAGTTATATCACTGCGTGTCAGCTTAATGTGGGAGGAAAGCCCGAAGTGATCATGCAGGTCTCAGACGTTTACCCACGAGCACGGATATGGTGCTGACAAACCTAGAAACATAATCGGGGCGAACCGGGATTTGAACCCACAACCATAGGTTTCTGGCGTGCCCAAGGGACGTAACTCTGCACAGCGAATCGCGGCGCCTTAGACGACTTGGCCAACCGTGCCCCCCTATAGTAGTTGGAAGACTCGAGTGTTCCTTGCCTTCTTTTGAGTAGTATAATAAATTATAAATATATGTCAAGCTGCTTACTCTGTGGCAGGCCTGGAAGGGGTCGATCAGAGGTAAACCTTGTTTGTTTGGCGCCGACATCCACAGTGCCATCAGGTGCATCCTTAGTACCAGGATTCGGGTCCTCAGTGCCACCAGCCGCAGTCTTCTCGGTACCTGGGGGGTTCATTCCACGGTTGGTTTTCTTTGATGATTTATTTCCCATTGCTTTTTCGGGTACCGGTTGTTCCTGTAACGAGTTATTATGTTTTACCCAGACAAGCCACGATGCTGCTTCATAAATAACTTATTTAATTTGAAATATGCTTTTCGGGACAGCGTATGTCTTGTGATTCATGTGTGATATTACATATATGTGAGTCATGCGTGATATTACATATATGTGAGTCATGCGTGATATTACATATATGTGAGTCATTTGTGATATTACATATATGTGAGTCATTTGTGATATTACATATATATGAGTCATGTGTGATATTACATATATGAGTCATGAATGATATTACATATATGTGAGTCATTTGTGATATTACATATATATGAGTCCTGTGTGATATTACATATATGTGAGTCATTTGTGATATTACATATATATGAGTCATGTGTGATATTACATATATGTGAGTCATGAGTGATATTACATATATGTGAGTCATTTGTGATATTACAGATATGTGAGTCATTTATGATATTACATATATGTGAGTCATTTGTTATATTACATATATATGAGTCATTTGTGATATTACATATATGTGAGTTATTTGTGATATTACATATATGTGAGTCATTTGTGATATCACATATATGTGAGTCATGTGTGATATTACATATATGTGAGTCGTTTGTGATATTACATATGTGTTTTTTTTCGAAATTAGTATTCAATGAAACTCTCCCACATACACAACAAACAGACACAGGCGTTTATCACAAAAAGTAAAGCGAGACGAGATCCTATAATTGTACGAACTTGATTGTGTTAAGCCTTACACGGAACTCTTTTAAAAACATCTAAAGACTTGTTTTTTTCTGTTAACATCATACTACGCGGATTCATACAGTTTGCACATCGGTTTTTCGATTCATACCTCAATGAACCGAAAAAAATACAGTCAATCCTTAAATAAATACCTTTCAACAAAGGACAGTAAAACGGTAAATCTCACAGTTTAGGATAAAGCCAACTTCAGATATCAGGTTGTTAGCATTTCAAATTATTATTTCTATGCATCTCTTAAGGCTTATTTGTTCGAATACTAATTCTCTTCTTAGAAAACGCTACTTAGGTTCCAAGGTTCTAAAATCTCATGTCATGTGGTTGCAACGTACTTCTTATATAATACGATTATTAATTATCAGACACCATCATTAAATACTTACTGGTCGTATCGTATATCTGTATAGCTGTATCTCAGCGCGGCCTAAAACCCAAGGACGGGATTGTATAGTAAGCTTCAAGTGTGTGTGTGTGTTTGTGTGTTGGAGGGTGACAGGGCAAGGTGACGTGACGCATATAGGAAAACCAGGTACTATATATAGCCCACACATTATTCTTTGTTACTGCAGTCACGTCACAGCTGTCAGTCAACGTTCGGTGAATATAAAACTCATTTGAAAAGACCTGTAGGTCAACGCTGACTCCAGGGGCACATCCGGGTGGGGATGTAGGAGATATTACGCCGTTGGACACGGGTTTTACAATGGGCATGCAGTGTGTTTTGTATTGCAATTCAACTATCAAATTGAGAGTAACTGACAAAGATTTTATAGTCTTCTCTGTAAGGAGTGTGGCATACAAACGTATGTTGAAATACACCGTTTAGGTAGCTACTCGGGATAAACACACATTCATATATATTATATGCATATAAAAATGAATTCAAAACTATTAATATATGTATTTTGCATGATGTTGTTATTGGGTTTATGTTTGTGTTTTTTCTTATTTTATTGCTGTGACAGAACTACGAATGACGATTTAATTTGATACACATTTAGGTTGAAGTTGACGGTGAACGCATGTTTATGTTTGTTTGTTTTGTTTGTGTTGTTTCACTCAGCAATATTCCAGCTATATGACAGAGGTCTGTCAATAATCGAGTCAGGACTAGACAGTCCAGTGATTGACATCATGAACATCGAAAGCAATTGGGATACGATGACATGCATTTACCAAGTCAGCGAGCCAGACTACCCAATCCCGTTAGTCGCCTTTTACGGCAAGTATAGTCGCCTTTTTCGGCAAGTATTGTCGCCTTTTACGACAGGCATAGTCGCCTTTTACGGCAAGTATAGCCGCCTTTTACGACAAGCATGGTCGCCTTTTACGGCAAGTATAGTCGCCTTTTACAGTAAGTATAGTCGCCTTTTACGGCAAGTATAGTCGCCTTTTACAGCAAGTATAGTCGCCTTTTACGACAAACATGGGTTACTGATGCCCATAGGCCAAATAGGGCTCGACATTTTATAAAAGCTATAAATTAATTGATTGAAGTTAAAATGAGTTGGGACCGCCTCCGTGGTCTAGTGGTAGAGCGTCCGCCCGGAGAGCGGAAGGTCCGGGGTTCGATCCCCGGCCGCGTCATACCAAAAGACGTTAAAAGCACTATAAATCGGCATCAGTCCGGACTAGTACAAGCAGCCACACAAACATACACGGGCATGCACGTCGCTATATAAGTGCAATAATCTTGGACGCGACGTTAAACCCAATTTCACCTCACCTCAACTCACCTCAAATGAGTTGTATTATGTGACATGATACTTGTGGACGCGCCTTTATCTTGTAGCAAAACACAAAACTTAAGTTATGAGCAAATGAAGATATTCTTGTCCATGGGTAAGATATCTTTATAACGCTAAAATTAGTTGAATTAAGATAAAATGAGTTGAATTATGTTTCACTTGTAGATACACCGTTATTCATTTCCAAAACAAAACAAAATGGCTTTGAGCAAATGAAGATGTTCTCGCCCATGTCTCAAACAACCATTGAGCAAGAGTCATATAACGCTCTTTGAAAGCTTCGTAGAAAGAGCATACTCGATTTTACTTCAGAAGTTGTAAAATGTACACCACAGGCTAGAGCTGGTGGCTACCATGAAACCTCACATGTATAAAGCGATGCTGACACGCCCTATCTATGTAAAGAATAACTTTTACCTTTGATCAAGTGTTAACAACAATGAGCACATATTTAGAAGATAAATACTATGTGTGTGTCTATTTCCGGGATTTTATCGAGTATTTGCATCTTGGAAATTCATCTCGAGACCAGAAAGCGTTATTTAGAAAAAAACATGCGCTCTTTAACACCTCGTACTTTCTCGGTTGTGATGCGTCAACATCGAACGTTCTGTTGCTGCTATGGTGATTGTGATTTTGGTAATTAACGTACACCGGTAATGAGACGCAAATACCATCGCGATAATTCAGCTACATCCTTGAATTCCTCATACATTTTAGAATCAAATGCCAAATGGTCTTTGTCACCAATACAAATTGTCTAGATGTAATGAAGCAAAATAAATGAGGTGTGAAAACGGACACTGAAAAAACTGCACTTGTTGGAAATGTAAACAAAGCTATTCGTCTATTCGTTGAGTACATTGGCTCGAGATCTGCATTTTCAGAATATACACGGGAAGAGAATCGTAGGAAGAATTAGGGAATTAAACATATATACATTGCAATAATTTGATATTTTCAACAGAACTTGTCGAAGTTCCCGTCCTGTGTGACGCCATGACTGACGCAAAATCACGCACAACGACAACTGTAATTATCAGAATTTATGACTATTTTCGTTGGTTTCAATGAAAAATACAACAACAAAAAACAGTACACAGATTGTCAGAATGTTTCTGATTACTTACATGTCACTTTTATGTATATACGAACCCTGAATCAACGAAAGTCCCCTCGTAAAATCCCGCGCACTTGACAGTCAACACGCCATTTTGTAAAACTCGGTCACCGGTAGTGATGTCAAACTTCAACATATTTGTTGTACATATTTGGTAATTTCTCTGAGGTGAAGGTCCTTGAACATGAAAGTACACACGATCATTGTTAACTGCTTTTTACTGTTTCATGATGTAGATCTTGCATATCTTTTGTACATTTTTTTCACACAATTAATTTCACTTTTGATATTAATTTTAATTAAAAATTTAAAATCCCAATAATTCCCATGAATAGAGAAAATCAAAAAATTTGTTATGAATGTTAATTTTGTATTTCAATTAGCGTCCATTGTTAATTAGTAAGCAAAAAATGCTGAGTAATTATGTATTCCTACACAGTGGTTCGGTCGCTTGCTTCAGGGAATGCAAATCATATTTTCACCCTTTGACATTTGGTCATGTGACCCAAATTAGCCAATCACAACACAGAACACACTTTCTATAGGTTTACAATATGAATTAAATGATGGTTTCCTACCAGAAATCAGAGACTGTCTGAACGTATTTGGAGTACTTAATGCCAAAAGTGTTTTATTTCAAAAGCAATGCATAAGAAAGTGAAATTAAACCAAAATGTTATTTAGCACAACCAACTAGGCGTATCCGATCCCGACTTGATCCGTCAGAAAATGAATCGTGTCCATCGACATCTTCATCCCAAGACTCCCACTGTACTCAACCATCAAGTGATGAGAAAATTATTCAGGCAAGAGATTTCATCTATACCAACGACAAACTTACCACACAAATGATCAACAACAAAGTTTCATTTTCATACATTTATTTACAAAGCTTGAATAACAAATATATTTTCATCAATATTTTAAAACATGACGTCAATATATTATTTCTTCAACATATTTACAGACTAAATTCAGGCTAGATGCATCGAAGCTTATTGGCCTAAAACGTTTAAACCTGAACAAAAACGTCGAACTTGAACGTGACATAAACAAAGTATCAGTCGCTAGATCACCCTCAATATATCAATGCATGTGGTTTTGAGAGCATGGAATAAAGGTATTGTCTGTCATATTGAAATGATAATTTTTTCTAAATCTGAAAGCTTCAGCTAGATAGTTTGATGATTATCTCCGAAAACAAATGGTGGATTATTTACTCTTGGCTTTGTCTACCACATAGCATTGATAACAGTATGAATACTCAGTCTGGTTCCACTGTTTTTGTTCCAACTGATGGTTGGATTCGGGTGCATAACCTGACTGTTAGAAAGTTGAATGGAAGCCGAATTATGGAGAGACTTTAAAGGAAACCATCGATCAATAAACAAAGGCTGGAAGACCTAAAGTAACACGTGGCCAAAAACGTCACAATGGAATTCCGTTTCTGCACACGACTCCAGTTTTATAAGTACCATCATGTTTAGAAAAACCCAGTGACGAAGAAACTATTTCGATAATGGCAGCCTCGTACTGCATGGGATAACGCGACAAAACCCTTTCCATACCCTGTAGAAATTTCGTTGATTGTACGATTCCGAATATATCATGAGCATGTGTTTATGAACTACTATCAAATAGTTATAATAACAGGTGTTCGCGAAAAACTGAGCGTATCCTGCCCCACCGGTGGCACACGTCACAAATACATGCAAAGGCAAGTCAATTGTTCGCCTGAAAAAAACACGGACACCTACAGAATCGGACATCATTTTTGTCACTGATGCGTCAGATTTGAATATAAAACTGATGGTTGTTCTGATAATATATGCTTAAATTCACGCAATGTGTTTGTTTAATTATAGATTCTTGTAATTGTATATTACTAATTCAACCTTATTATATTATGTTTTAGGGAATTATCATCCAAAACCATATTGTGGTGGGATCTCCATTCATAAGAAAGCTCTGCTAAAAGCCGAGTCGGGTGTATGTTTCCTACTATTCCATAATCTAATTGAAAGGAACTATTTGACTCCTGTAACCCTACAAATCATTAACGTCCTTCTACCAAGCTGACTTACTGTGAATTAACTATACAATTAACCTTTTAGGAATACGTTAGGAGGCGTAGCTTTTTTGGTAGATTTCAACGACTGAGGCATCCAAGACATATATACCCGATTTGTTTTCATTTGACTACAGTTACTATGTCATGGCCATGACAGACTAACTATAGCCATGTGAAAAAACCGGGTGTTCTTTAACTGCTTTTGAGTAGTATATTTTCGATTCCGAACCTAAAAAATAGTAGTTCATATTGCAAACTACGTTCAGCACCATTGAGGTACGATGGTAGGTAATCAACCAACTCACCACGCCTGACCAACCGACTCACATTAGTCGACTCTTGGGCAAGGAAAAGATTCCCAGGATCCATTCTAATCCGGGCCCCTGTTCATGGGGTAAAAAGAGTTGTCGACACATAATGACGTCAACAGTTAATCTGCACTTATTTACCACACACATGATCAACAACAAAGTTTCATTTTCATACATTTATTTACAAAGCTTGAATAACAAATATATTTTCATCAATATTTTAAAACATAATGTCAATATATTATTTCTTCAACATATTTACAGACTAAATTCAGGCTAGATGCATCGAAGCTTATTGGCCTAAAACGTTTAAACCTGAACAAAAACGTCGAACTTGAACGTGACATAAACAAAGTATCGGTCGCTAGATGTATCAATGCAAGTGGTTTTGAGAGCATGGAATAAAGGTATTGTCTGTCATATTGAAATGATTTTATTTTTTTTAAATCTGAAAGCTTCAGCTAGATAGTTTGATGATTATCTCCGACAACTAATAGTGGATTATTTACTCTTGGCTTTGTCTACCACATAGCATTGATAACAGTATGAATACTCAGTCTGGTTCCACTGTTTTTGTTCCAACTGATGGTCGGATTCGGGTGCATAATCGGACTGTTAGAAAGTTGAATGGAAGCCGAAATATGGAGAGACTTTAAAGGAACCCATCAATCAATAAACAAAGGCTGGAAGACCTAAAGTAACACGTGACCAAAAACGTCACAATTGAATTCCGTTTCTGCACACGACTCCAGTTTTATAAGTACCATCATGTTTAGAAAAACCCAGTGACGAAGAACCTATTTCGATAATGGCAGCCTCGTTCTGGGATAACGCGACAAAACCCTTTCCATACCCAGTAGAAATCTCGTCGATTGTACGATTCCGAATATATCATGAGCATGTGTTTATGAACTACTATCAAATAGTAATGATAACAGGTGTTCGCGAAAAACTTAGCGTATCCTGCCCCACCGGTGGCACACGTCACAAATACATGCAAAGGCAAGTCAATTGTTCGCCTGAAAAAACAAGGACACATACAGCATCGGACATCATTTTTGTCACTGATGCGGAATACATTAGGAGGCGTGGTTTTTTTGGTAGATTTCAACGACTGAGGCATCCAAGACATATATACCCGATTTGTTTTCATTTGACTACAGTTACCATGTCATGGCCATGACAGACTAACTATAGCCATGTGAAAAAAACCGGGTGTTCTTTAACTGCTTTTGAGTAGTATATTTTCGATTCCGAACCTAAAAAATAGTAGTTCATATGCAAACTACGTTCAGCACCATTGAGATACGATGGTAGGTAATCAACCAACTCACCACGCCTGACCAACCGACTCACATTAGTCGACTCTTGGGCAAGGAAAAGATTCCCAGGATCCAATCTAATCCGGGCCCCTATTCATAGGGTAAGAAGAGTTGTCGACACATAATGTCGTCAATAGTTAATCTGCACTACCGCAGGGGAGGTAACTACAGACGGAACGACTTATCTCCCTTCTTTCACTGATCATATTTTGTAACCCGAACAGCAACGGTGTCCACACATAGTTCCTACAACATGACTTTGTTGATTATTCGGTTTTGTGCAAGGGTAACAACCTCTAATGAACCCATTTCCAATACGGATCCTTCCAAACGCTAGCCTCGAAGACGCCATCTTCCCGAGGCAAGGGAGTTTTGCGACTATAAAAGTCCAGTTTCCACCCTTGACGAACTTGGCAGGAAATATGAAATTATATTTTGGTTGCACTAACGAGTCTATGCATAGTCCAATCAAAATCGACACCCGCTTCGTAATCTCTCGTGCAGAGTTACGTCGATTGCAGGTTTAGCAACTTGGTGTCGAAAGATACTTTCCTAATCTTTTCATAATCAAGGCGCTCAAGTAATCTGATGTTCTTCGTAAGGTAAGGCCAGTTTAGTAACAATATAGATCTTGATTATCGATCAAATCGTCCTTACTGGGGGCCACCATCCTGTTTGAAGCAAATGCAGGCAATATTATAGCTGGAATCAGATTGGTCAATAGGAAGGACATAAAAGGGACATATTTCGAAATAGACACTGGTGGAAATTGGACTTCAGTCAGTTAACTCCCTTGCCTCGGGAAGATGAGATGACGTACGGGACAGATGAGTGGAGTGGGTAGTTTCCCTTCGGATTGCTTGTCCGACATGATTTGACAAGATAGAACTGTTTCTCTTAACCAGTGTTACACCGTTACAGCTATTATTCTGACCTTTATCGTATGGTATTATTACAATATGTCTGATATATAAGAATGATTTGATAAATTACCCAAGTGATACAAACATAAAAAAACACCTAAATACAGACGGTGTAATACTTTAAAACAAACTAACACAAAATAATCTAACAATGGATGTGCTTTTGCTGCTTGTCATGGCTGATTTCAAAGCATGTTGTCTCCCTGAACCTTCTGATTGGTTAATAACATATGCGCGCACCAATCAAATCTCTCCATAGCCATATTGCATATGGATTATCGTTCCTTCTGGCATAGTCTATTGTTTTTTGTAGGGGTGACAGGGCGTCATCACATGGCTGCTGTCTCGTTGTAGCTGTTTTCAGTTGACACGATGAAGTCGTCAAACACATCATGCAGATACGCGAACGTTGGACGATCCTCGGGTTTCCTGTTCCAGCACGTGAGCATGACGTCATAGTACGAATCATCGTAGCTGATTGGCCCCGAGGGTTTGGGCATCCGGTAGCCTTTATCAACCTTGTGAAGGACCTCCGAACCGCCCATACCTACGGAATGTGAATGTATCAAATCATCGAAGGCAAATCATTTCAGGCTGTAGCCTATGATACGGTTGTAACTGTCATATACGGGGCGATGGGATAGTTAAGGGAACACTCACCAGAGTAGGTAACACCCACCAGGGTAGGGAACACTCATCAGAGTAGGGAACACTCACCAGGGTAGGGAACACTCATCAGAGTAGGGACCTCTCACCAGGGCAGGGAACACTCACCAGGGTAGAGACCTCTCACCAGGGTAGGGAACATTCACCAGAGTAGGGACCTCTCACCTGAGTAGGGACCAATCACTGGGGTAGGGAACACTCACCAGGGTAGGGAACACTCACCAGGGCAGGGAACACTCACCAGGGTAGGGAACACTCACCAGGGTAGGGAACACTCACCAGGGTAGGGACCACTCATCAGGGTAGGGAACACTCACCAGGGCAGGGAACACTCATCAGGGTAGGCAACGCTCACCGGGGTAGACAACACTCACCAGGGTAGGGAACACTCACCGGGGTAGGGAACACGCACCAGGGTAGGGAACACTCACCAGGGTAGGGAACACTCACCAGGGCAGGGAACACTCATCAGGGTAGGGAACACTCACCAGGGCAGGGAACACTCATCAGGGTAGGGAACACTCACCAGGGTAGGCAACACTCACCAGGGTAGGCAACACTCACCAGGGTAGGCAACACTCACCAGGGTAGGGAACTCTCCCGAAGGTGACCAGCTCGTACAGGAGGACACCAAATGACCACACGTCCGACTTGACAGAGAACTTTCTGTCCAGAGCAGCTTCTGGTGCTGTCCACTTGATGGGGAATTTTGTATCTGGAAAGTACATTATATATCACATTCCAAATGAAAACATAACATAAACTGACAACCTCTATTTGGCCTAGTCTATTGTTTTTGTAGGGGTGACAAGGCGTCATCAAATGGCTGCTATCCCGTTGTACATATTTTCAGTTGACACCATGCAGTCGTCAAAAACATCACGTAGATACGAGAACGTTGGACGATAGTCGGGTTCTCTGTGCGAGCACGTAAGCATAGTACGACTGATTGTAGTTGATTGGCCCCGACGGTTCGCAATTGTTTTACATTTTTTGTTCTCCTCTTGATAAACAAGTCTCATCATGTGTCATGTCGTCTTAAGGGAGAAACGATGGGTGACGAAGGGCAGCCGCATAATGTGGATGGATGGACAGATCCTTATAACTTTATGTACACTGTTTCAGTCAGTCGTTGAGGAATAAGTGGCATGTCTCAAAAACAAATAAAGTTCATAATGGAAATTTCTCACATTAAACAGTGTCATTTAGGGGATCAAGCCATATTTCACGTTCCGGAGAGGTTATTTGTGTATGTTTGTTGTGTAACGCCGCAATATTCGAGCTATAGGACAGCAGTCTCCAAATAATCAAGTCTGAACAAGACAATCCAGTGATTGGCATCATGAGCATCGATCCACGTAATTGGGATACGATGACATGCATCAACCAATTTGCATGAATAATCACGTTTGTTCTTATTGTTTGAGGATCTTCATGGGTCTGTCGGCGAGGTAAAGTGTTTTGAGGATGACTTCAATTTTCTAATAGTCAACTTTCCCTTCATATTAGGGGCGGTCGGGTAGCCTAGTGGTTAAAGCGTTCGCTCGTCACGCCGAAGACCCGAGTTCGATTCCCGACATGGGTACAATTGTTGAAGCCCATTTCTGGTGTCCCCCGCCGTGATATTGCTGGAATATTGCTAAAAGCGGCGTAAAACCAAACTCACTCACTCACCCCTTCATATTAAGCAATATTCCTGCAGCTGCAGTCTACATTTCACATTTGAGGTACAATGGAGTTTTATGGTAGGCATGTGAAGGTCTTTTCCTGTGACAAATATGATGTTCGATTCAATTCCCTATTCTGACTTGTATCCGTGGTTTTTTTTCGGGTGAATAATTGAATTTGCAACTGCCTTGTTTGAATGGTCTGTAATGAAATAATTCCATCAGTGCAAGTGGTATTTACGTTGTTTACTTACTCTCTGTGGCCTCATAAATATCCTCATCTTGGAGAATTCTCGCCAGACCGAAGTCAGCAACCTTGACCTCATTGTTCTCCCCAACGAGGATGTTAGCAGCACGGAGATCTCTGTGGACAAAGTTCTCCTTCTCCAAGAAAGCCATTCCGTCTGCAATCTGGCCACATAAAATGAAAAGCCCGTCAGAAGAAAAACAGAGAATGCTTGTCTCAGTATCTCCTAATCCACCATAAGGAAGAACTGATGTAAACTTTGCCTCAAGTGAGACCATGAAAATTTGAAGATACAGTAAACTACGGTTATAACGAACTCAAAGGGACCACTAATTCGTTATAACCGTACATGTAGTTCGTTATAAGCATATATACAGCATATGTACAACAAATGGCCGGGACTAAAAATAAGTTCGTTATATCGGTCAGTTCGTTATAAGCGTGTTCGTTATAGTTCACTGTAGTGAAGTATGAACTTTTAGATAAGTGAACATGGTGAACATCGGTACACAAGACAATTCCACAAAGTTCGCAAAAGTTTCGAGAAGAATGTCGTCATAGAAGAGAACTATTTCATGAAAATGTGACTGTGACATTCTAGCAGATTGTTCTAAAAGTAATAATACAAAGACTTTCTGGTCCCATGTCGGGCACTTTAGTCGCCAGTCAACTGTGATGGTGCCTTCAATCGATCCTTCAGATTAGATTGTCTGTGTTACGACTGTATTGGTGAGGTGAAATGGGGTTTAACGTCGCGTCCAAGATTATTGCACTTATATAGCGACGTGCATGCACGTGTATGTGTGTGTGTGGCTGCTTGTACTAGTCCGGACTGATGCCGATTTATAGTGCTAGCTCACTGAGATACCATGCCGCAGTTTAACATGAATACCCCACTCAGACACAGTATACCGACTCCGAGCCGACCAGTCCTCGTTTTAGCCCCTTAATGCCGAGCGCCAGACAGGGTAACAACGAGTACAATCTTTTAACGTCTTTTTGTATGACGCGGCCCGGGATCGAACCCTGGACCTTCCGCTCTCCGGGCGGACGCTCTACCACAAGACCACGGAGGCGGTCTACGACTGTATTGAATATTCAGGACACAATTGAGAATGACTTTCTTAGCTTTGGGAGTTAGGAGTTTAATTGCTGCTCACGAACCACTAGTGGTGATGTCTGTTATAATGATGACTTTAATAACGTTTTAAACAGGGACATAAGTTTGATAGAGGCTGAATCCTCGTTCAGTGAACTTAAATTTAAGAAAAGTCCTGGTGTTGGTGGCGCACTGCTAGAGATGTTGAGATATAATTGGTATGTCCTTTCCTCCTATCTATGTAAATTATTTAATTATATTTTGAAATACATGTAAGGTAGTTTTCCCGGGCAATGGCCCAGAAGTCTTTGAAAGGCATTTAGAAGTGATACACATAAGGAAGTGATCCATGATTTCACCTGATGAAGGAGTAAGTGTATACTCCGTAACGCTGTGTTCCTCATAATAAAGAAGTTGCCATCCATAAACTCCCCTCCTTAATGGTCCAGAAGTATACTATTTCCATTACAATATTAACCTTCATGGTGTAAACAATTATAGTGGAATATCCCCCATGGTGTGGTAAAGTACTTACTTGTATTTTAAATAATCGTTTGAATCATTTTGTTGAGTGGTTTGATATGTACCCTGAATGTCAGGGAGGTTTTCGACAAAGATATTCAACCATTGTTGACATTTTTACATTGCGAAGTATTATGTCTAAATCTAAAGGTCGTTATATTTTATAGTTGTTGATTTCCATAAAGCCATTTGAGATCTTCTTTGATATGTCATGTTATCAAGTAATATCCATGGTTATATGTTATATCTTGAGGAAAATGTATTGATAAACCAAAGCAAGTGTTAAATTATCAAGATCTACTATTTCAGAACCCGACTCTCTCAGGGGGGTACGTCAAGGATGCATTTTAAGTCCGTTTCTCTTTTCATTATTTGTTCATCAGTTGCACAGTCACATCGAGCAATGTGGCGACAAAGGTGTATTTATTGGTCTAGAGTTTATGGAAATATATTTGTTATTATATGCAGACGATCTTTGTTTGAATGCTTATTCTGTCATCAGTTTGCAGAGAAAGATTAACACTCTTGCTCAATTTTGACAAAAAGGGGTTTAACTATCAATTTAATAAAACGGAAGCGTTGGTGTTCGGAAAGGGTGGTACGTTAAGGAAACATGAATCTTGGTATTTTGGAGATAGAAGGTTAAACATTTCAACATAATATAATTATTTGCAGTTCAATTTCTCGTTTAAAAGGCCAATAAGGCACTGTCTTCACTTGACTTCTGAATATATCTCCTTTAGTTCTATTTAGAATGTTTGATGTTCACATAGAGCCTATTGCTCTGTATGCATCTAAATGCTTCAGAAATGGGCAGTTGTGGAACAGTTTTATGTGATGTTTTGCAAGAATGTAATGGGTATAAGTAATAAATGTACAAATGTAAAATATTGGTTTAACCTCCTGGAACTGTAGGAGGATAGATACCAAAAACAATGCTATTTTATGTTGTGTCATTAAGATCAAGTTGGGGGGGGGGGTGGTGACTTGGGTTTATTATGTTAAAAATATTCTGTTCAGTTTTGGAATTGGATTTGTCTGGGAATCCCAGGGAGTTGGTAAATAAAGCAGCTCAACGAATTGTACTGATGGATAAATGATTGTTAAGTGCCGTCTATCTTCCCTGACGTCCAAAGCTGTTCTTCCCTCGATATGTATCACAATATTAGCATTGCTTTTGTATTGAACCTTATCTGTTAAATATGTAATCTAAAGAGTCACGGCGCAGATTCACCGCATTACGACTTGGTGATTTACCTTTACATGAAAATACTGGAATACGGGAAGAGGTTCCCAGACAATGTCGGATTTGTGTAATATGTAGTGAAAACATTGTTAAAAATGAATTTCATTTTCTATATGAATGTCAGGCATATCATGACTTATTCTATACAACTTTACTGTGTACATTGATAAAAAATACATTATTGAAACTTGCATCGTAATAATTTATCAACGCAAACGAACTCTTCTAGCTATTTTAGAGATGCATAAGCATCATACCTATGACAACACATTTCTAGCATGTTTGATCACTCCATGTTATAATAAATGTTTATTTTACTTTGTACGTGGGCCCTAGGCTTTATACGAAATAAATTGATTGATGGCATTAAAGCCTGGCATCTCGTTGATAAAAATATAAAAAGTAAACAACATATCGTTGTCTCAATGAGGTAATAAATTATATCAAGTAAAGAAGTATTATCTTGTGGACCCTGCATCATTTTGACAGACAAAAGTCAAGGATTTATAGGGTTACTTATTCTTTGGCCATATTAGTATGGGATTCTGCAAAAATTTCAAAACCTTTTGAACCCTTCTCTTGCAAGCTTAATTGAACCGTTTCAGATTCACAGCAGTAGACAAGAGATGTTTCATGTTACAAAGTGTCGTAGATTTGTACTGTGAAGGAGAGTTACAACAGACAAGTTTGGTAGATGTGTTTGACCATTCGATAGAATGGATCAGTTGGAGTACTAGTGGCGTGATATAATTCATATCAAGCAAATATTCGGCTGAGAATTGATCGAACCAGCTGGTGATATATTTATTAATAGCAAAATCTTAATTTCTGGAGGAAATATAAATATTGGAAACAACGGACATTAAAAGTATGCTTGGTTGTGTAACTGAATTGAAACACTTTGTAAACACATAATCAGCTTTAACTCGAAATATGTAAATATGTGTTTTCTACTGAAGTCCATTACCAAACACATCAAATGAGATTCGAACCCGTACGTTATTGTTATGTTTGATTATCACAATCATAAATTACCAGAACAACTTAAATGATATCTGTGGCCTTATTGCCAAATATTATCAAAATTCGAATATTCAAAGTGTTTCCGCATATACGAATCATCAGGTTAGTTAGCTTGGCTTTCTAATATGATGCCAGTTTTATTACTATAAGAATCCACGTTGATGGTACCCTTGGTTACCTGACATGATGCCAGCCCAATATCAATACAATCGACACGTCCAAGGTACGCGTGGTTATCCAACATGATGCCAGGTGGTTACGGGGTAGAATAGGTCTTCAGCAACCCATGCTTGCCGAAAAAGGCGACTATGCTTGTCGTTAGAGGCGACTAACGGGATTGGGTGGTCAGACTCACTGATTTGGTTGATGCATGTCATCGATCCCAATTGCGTGGATCGATACTCATGACATTAATGACTGTATTGTATGGTCCAAACTCAATTATTTACAGACCGCCGTCATATAACTCGAATATTGCCGAGTGCGGCGTTAAACAACAAACCAAACCAAACCAAACCAAACCAAACCAAAAGCCAGGCCCACAATAGGAATCAGCAGACATTATAAGCAGCACACTGGTTGCCTCATACGATGCCCTCCTACCCACCTGGGAGGCCATGTCGATGACGGTGGGGAAACGGACCAGCCTGCCCTCGTCCTTCCTGATGTAGTCCAGCAGGGCGCCATTGGCCATCAGCTCCGTCATGATGAGGATGGGTTCCTCCTCGGTGCAGACAGCTATCAGCTGGACCAGCTTGGTGTGGCGCAGCTTGTGCATGATCTTCGCCTCGGCCATGAAGGCTTCCGGGGACATGGTGCCAGGTTTGAGGGTCTTCACGGCAACGTCGATCACATTCCGCAGTACCCCTAGAATAAGTCGGGTACATGAACATTCATTTTCAATTGACTAATGTAGTTGGTAAAGCGCTAGTTCCAGGTGCTAACCCGGTGCGATTTCCCACAAAGGTACAAAGTGTAAAACACATTGTTGGTGACTCTCGCAGAGATATTGGTAAAATCCAACTCAATCATTACTGTATGTTCGGAAGTAATTGCAGGGGCGCATGTTTCATGCGCTTGACAAGTCAGAAATACACATCACGGATGTAAACTTCCTGTGGGCAGATATGTATTCTGAGTTTATACTTGACACAAAGGCATTTTTTCAATACCATCTGTTTTGTACCTTTCAGTGAATCAAAGACGTCGTATATTATTTTAATTGAGAATGTATACATGCAGGGAAATCGAAAAAAACAGTGTTTTGTTAATGCCTGTCTATGTCGGCTAATAATAAAGTTGGAATCGTACAATGGACTCTGATTTTAGCAGTGTTTATTTATGATTATGGAACCGTTTTGTCGCTTTTGTTTACTGCCAAATATATTGACCCCTAGCCAGTCAGTTTAAGTGAGTGAGTGAGCTGGGTTTAACGCCGCTTTCAAAAGTATTCCAGTTATATCACGGCGTGTCAGTTTTATGTGGGAGGAAAGCCCGAAGTGAAGCAGGTCTTAGATGTTTACCATTTCGGTGAAACCCACGAGCACGAGTATGGTGCTGACAAACCTAGAAACATAATCGGGGCGAACCAGGATTCGAACCCACAATCATAGGTTTCTGGCGTGCCCAAGGGACGCAACTCTGCACAGCGAATCGCGGCGCCTTAGACGACTGGACCACCCGTGCCCCCTAGTAAGTTTTAGCATCTGTTGGGGACGGTGGGGGGGGGGGGGGGGGGGGGGGGGGGGGGGGGTAGCCTAGGGTAGACTGAAACAAGTCACTAAGCTGGACAACCAATCCATTTTATCCGACTTTTACGACACGTATATGTTACTGGGGACCAATTCTATCCTACAATACCCACGGCGAAGCTATCGTTAACATAAGCAAGACAAATATACAGTTCACTAAGAGACTACTATTTACATTTCAGGTCTGTTCGTCAAATATACTTGAAATCCTGCAAAAGGATCTCTTCTACGAAAAAACGTGTTGTTTGTTTGTTGTCGTTTAACGCCGCACTCAGCAATATGGAGCTATATGACGGCGGTCGGTTAATAATCGAGTCTGGACCAGACAATCCAGTGATTGACATCATGAGCATCGATCCACGCAACTAGGATACGATGACATGCATCATCCGAGTCAGTGAGCCTGACCACCCGATCCCGTTAGTCGCGTCTTACGACAAACATAGTCGCCTTTTACAGAGAGCATGAGTTGCTGAAGATCTATTCTGTCCCGGATCTTCGAGTGTAATGTATTGTAATAATACTGATAACAATAAATATTTCAAAAATAAAATTCATAATAAGGAAAAAATCTTTGCCAAACCAAAGAATATAAACCGAGTATATTTCAAGATAAATCTCATTGAACAGATATGGAATTGAACGTTCGGGCATAAACACTGATAGATTTTTAATATGTTATTCACAAAATGGTCGAATTTAAGCTTCCACGGGGGTTTGAAATGTTGACCAAGATAGGATTGTCATCCACAGATTTGTACCTACCCTTCCATACTTCGCCAAAACACCCAGCGCCAAGTTTGGCAGCCATCTTGACCGCATTTCGGGCCACTTCTAGGTCCCGGAAGTGTACAATCGGTCGGGTCCTAGGACACGCTTTTGTTAGCACTGCGCACAGCCCATCTGCATTCTCTGGCAATAATGCATTGACACATTCCAAAAATATGTTCTCTCAAAATGAAAAACAAGGCCAGAAAACCCTTTTTTCTCATAACGAACATGTCCGTCTGGAGACATAGGAATAAAAACGTTTTTTTTTCTAAATGAATATTGAAATCTGGAAATGAAATCACCAGTTCAATGAATAACCAACACTTCCATAAGCTGGAGTGAGTGAGTGAGTGAGTTGGGTTTAACTCCGCTTTCAACAGTGTTATAGTTATATCGCGGCGTGTCAGCTTAATGTGGGAGGAAAGCCCGAAGTGATGCGATCTCAGCCGTTTACCATTTCGGTGAAACCTACGAGCACGGGTATGGTGCTGACAAACCTAGAAACATAATCGGGGCGAATCGGGATTCGAACTCACAATCATAGGATTCTGGCGTGCCCAAGAGACGCAACTCTGCACGGCGAATTGCGGCGCCTTAGACGATTGGGCCACCCCTGCCCCCTCCATAGGCTGGAGCTCAATCCAGTAACATCAGATCGTTTACTCCAATAATTGTGTCAACACAGACCTGACACTGCCAAACCAATGCCAATCTTTGAATCATTCAGATATGACAAAACCATAGTTTTACTTACTTTTATAGTGGTCTATAAGTTCAATTACATCAGGAAATGTTCTCTTTGTGTTGATGTAAACGCCTCCGTTATCCAACTTCCGCATACGGTAGTGTTTGACGCTCGGGACGTTGTCTCGCACCGACAACACATGGGAGGACTTGTCTGCAACAAACAGAAGACTGGGTATGTAAGAGCAGGATCGTGTATGGAACCGTATTAGTGCCACATTCTAAAAATAAATGTCTTCTACGTAGATGAAAGTTTTTAGAATATGGCACTAATACACTTCCGTACTGATGGTAACCGTGGGATTCCCAGCTTAAAACAGATCCCCGGTATCATGATTGTCGTAAGTGGCGAATACATGAATCGAATAATATGTAAGAGCAGGAAACATATCTCCATAGTAACGCTGCACCATGTATGGAAGCGTATTAGGGCCACATTCTAAAAATAAATATCTTCTACGTAGATGATAGTTTTTAGAATATGGCACTTATACACTTCTATACTGATGGTAACCGTGGGGGTCACCGCTTAAAACAGAACCACGGTATCATGATTGTCGTAAGTGGCGACTACATGAATCGAATGGTCAGCTGCGGTGACTTGTTTCTGATTGTGTGCCATTATACCAAAACGGAGTGCTCGTAATATCAATCACTGGTTTTTTAAGTCCAGGCTCGATTTTTTGCTAGCCGCCGTCATGTATGTTTCTGAGTGCAGCCTTAGGCAAGCAACACACTGTGAAGACAAGAGTTATACACTGTTGGGGGGGGGGGGGGGGAGAAGGTGACGAAGTGAGTTCCAATTCGCCGATTAAAATAGGGTACGGCCTATTTTGGGAATCAAACATAAGGAGAGATTAATCAATCCTTTAACCACTGAGGTCCCTGACATCTTCATCATCCTTATTTGATATTCCACCTTGGTGAGTGAGTGAGTGAGTGAGTATGGTTTTACGCCCAATTTAGCAATATTCCAGCAATATCACGTCGGGGGCTTCACACATTGTACCCATGTCCAATCGAACCCGGCGTGACGAGCGAACGCTTTAACCGAAAACAGCAGAATCACCATTCTAGTGACCTTGACAGAGACTTTGACCTTCATTATTAGTTGCAAGTATTTCAAGAACATCAAAAAGGTTATCTAGCACATAAAGCAAACATGATAACCCCGGACAGAGTTCTATGGAACAACTAAAAATGTTACTCAATGAATGTAGGTCACCGTGACCTTCCACTGTATCATCACATTGTCATCACTTGTTTTAAAAAACTATTATGCTAATACAAAATATACATGCATAAGACTTTTAAAAAAGCATCATAGCGAAACAACATTGATCTTGAAACTTACTTGATCTTACAGGTACGAAATACCATTGACCTACAGTAAATATTTCTCAAGTTCGGAGGTCAACACTCCTTTCAGGCTATGGCCTTCATGATGACTTTGACACTTGACATTTCAATATGTCAAAACACATTCACAGTGCTCTTGAGGGGATACACATAATATCCCGTGCTTCAAAATGAAAGTACGGCACCGGTCAAATTCAGGCAAACCCTTAAAACGTTCCTTCCCCATTTACATTGGTATGCTTAATTACGCAATACTTTCACTGTCCAAACCAAGGACAGACCTTTCACTGCTTTGTAAGGACATAGGATTTTAGAAGGTGAATTAACAAGCTGAAATGTATCAGTAAGGCAGGATCCCTTATTTTTCAATGCTGGTGCGTCATGCCAAGTTCAAGATAACGCGTTGGGGAGGGACAAGTGACTCTCCTCACCTGTAGACTCTCTGACCAGGAAAGTGCCAAGTTTGTTGCCAGGAAGCAGCAGCATCTTGTCGGCCTCTTTACGGTCACAATTATACCACCAGCTGTGGAAACAGAGAGCGCCCTATATGTGAACATATGGTCACAACCCATGTAATACATACCATTTGAATATCTGTTTACCAATACGTTCTTGCATGTTCCCAAACGTTAGATGAATGTAACAGCCTCTATACAAAAGTCACATTTAACCCAGTACCATAACCCAGCAAGCATTATTAATATAAAAGGACAAAACATTTCCATTTTCATAAGAAATCTGTGCTGAAAAGAGATCCACTGTACGATTCCGACAGTGTCATCAGCATGTGTTTATGAATCAAATCGTGATGATGCCAGGCGTATGAAAGACAATCCCGAAGTTCTACATCTTCCGGAAGCAAGCGAGTTAACTGACTATAAAAGTCCAATATCCAACCTTGCCGAACTAGGCTGGTATTATGGAGTTACAATTTGGCTGGATTAACGAGTCTGTGCATTGTCCAATCAAAATCACGTGAAATCGATGAAACAACGAAAGGGCGTAATTCTAGGATATATATCACAGCAATAAGGGGTGTGTCATGAACAAGTGACAGTTCTATATTTACAAATAAATAAATTATATATTAATTTGGACGTTATATAGGAACTGGTCATTTATTGTAGGGAGGGGGTCATGTTATGTGTATGGGGAGCGGGCATAAAAACATGTCACCACAAAAAGGGCTGTATAATGAGATATGGACCCCCTCGCCACCTAGAATAAATAACCAGTCCCTAAATGAATGATGGGTACAACTTACTCTTGTGCTTGTGGGGACTCGTCGTCCTTACACACGTAGTTTCTGGGGATGTACCCCTTCCGTCGGGTCAGTGCGTTGGTTGCTACCCACCAGTCACTGTTCTCTTGGCTGAAGTACAGAGATCACCACACAGTTAACTACACGTATCTATGTACATATCCAATCTCTACTTCAACAGACCGCCTCCGTGGTCTAGTGGTAGAGCGTCCGCCCGGAGAGCGGAAGGTACGGGGTTCGATCCCCGGGCGCGTCATACAAAAAGACTTTAAAAGATGGTACTTGTTGTTACCCTGTCTGGCGCTCGGCATTAAGGGGCTATACCAGGCTATACCTGAGTGGGGTATTCATGTTAAACTGCGGCATGGTATCTCAGTGGGCTAGCACTATAAATCGGCATCAATCCGGACTAGTACAAGCAGCCCCCCCCCCCCCCCCCCACACACACACACACACACGTGCATGCACGTCGCTATATAAGTGCAATAATCTTGGACGCGACGTTAAACCCAATTTCACCTCACCTCAACTACTTCAACATATTTTTTTATATGTGGTCTTCGACAAACATTACTTGTCGAAAGAAGCGACTAACGGGATCAGGTGTCAAGCTCGCTGACTCAACATACCATCGTATCCAGTTCCTTAGACTGATGCTCATGCTGTCAATCACTGGATTGACCATTTTTAACAGATCGCCGTAATATAGCTGGAATATTGCTAAGGGCGTCGTTTAAAAACAAATAAATAACCACTTTAAGTGCACGCATCGGGTTGAGTGAGTTGGTAACGAGTGAGTGAGTGATTTGGGGTTTAGGCGCTTTTAACTTTATATCAGTTATTTCATGATATTTATGCCTGTCTTAGACGATCACCACTTTGGTGAAATTCGCGATCAAGGGAATTGTGCTGACAAACCAAGAACAATTATCAGGGAACAGCAGGGTCGAACACAACATCAGCGGATCGTGGAGCTGGCTAAGGGGAGTAAATTACCGTGCTTCACATCACTAGCCAACCATTGGTACAGATTTGGTGGAGATCTTGATGTGGTTTAACATGTATTCTGTAGTCAGATGTATCTCATATTTACATCAATGGAACACAGTGGTACAGATTTGGTTGAGATCTTGATGTGGTTTTACATGTATTCTGTAGTCAGCTGTATCTCACGTTTATATCACCAGCACACAGTGATACAGATTTGGTGGAGATCTTGATGTGGTTCCACATGTACTGTGTTGTCAACTGTATCTCATATTAACATCAATGGTACACAGTGATACAGATCTGGTGGAGATCTTGATGTGGTTCTACATGTATTCTGTAGTCAGCTGTATCTCATATTTACATCAATGGTACACAGTGATACAGATCTGGTGGAGATCTTGATGTGGTTTCACATGTACTGTGTTGTCAGCTGTATCTCATGCTGAAATGTTCAACTGAACCTAAACATCATTCACATTTCCTTTAAACATTCTTGGGAATCAGGAAAAAGTCCAATCATGTTTGTCTGGAATAATTGTCCCTTGTTTATGTATGATATCTGGCAATAAACCAGGAACCCCTGAACAGACATATTGAAGAATGACCTTTAATACTTCAGCATTTGGTAAGTCATCATGACACAATGCCTTCCTTCGTCAACTTCAAGACGGCCCCCTTTCTAAATCAGCATGACAACATACCTTCCCTCGTCAACTTCAAGACGGCCCCCCTTTCTTAATCATCATGACATCATACCTTCCCTCGTCTACTTCAAGACGGTATCCCTTTCTAAATCTTCATGACAACATACCTTCCCTCGTCAACCTCAAGACGGCCCCCTTTCTAAATCACCCTGACAACATACCCTCCCTCGTCAACTTCAAGACGGCCCCCTTTCTAAATCAGCATGACAACATACCTTCACTCGTCAACTTCAAGACGGCCCCCTTTCTAAATCATCATGACAACATACCTTCCCTCGTCAACTTCAAGACGGCCCCCTTTCTAAATCATCATGACAACATACCCTCCCTCGTCAACTTCAAGACGGCCCCCTTTCTAAATCAGCATGACAACATACCTTCCCTCGTCAACTTCAAGACGGCCCCCTTTCTAAATCACCATGGCAACATACCTTCCCTCGTCAACTTCAAGACGGACCCCTTTCTAAATCACTATGACAACATACCCTCCCTCGTCAACTTCAAGACGGCCCCCTTTCTAAATCACCATGACAACATACCTTCCCTCGTCAACTTCAAGACGGCCCCCTTTCTAAATCACCATGACAACATACCTTCCCTCGTCAACTTCAAGATGGTCCCCTTTCTAAATCAGCATGACAACATACCTTCCCTCGTCAACTTCAAGACGGCCCCCTTTCTAAGTCAGCATGACAACATAACCTCCCTCGTCAACTTCAAGACGGCCCCCTTTCTCAATCATCATGACAACATACCCTCCCTCGTCAACTCCAAGACGATCCCCTTTCTAAATCATCATGACAACATACCTTCCCTCGTCAACTTCAAGACGGCCCCCTTTCTAAATCACTATGACAACATACCCTCCCTCGTAAACTTCAAGACGGCCCCCTTTCTAAATCAGCATGACAACATACCCTCCCTCGTCTACTTCAAGACGGCCCCCTTTCTAGATCAGCATGACAACATACCTTCCCTCGTCAACTTCAAGACGGCCCCCTTTCTAAATCACCATGACAACATACCTTCCCTCGTCAACTTCAAGACGATCCCCTTTCTAAATCAGCATGACAACATACCCTCCCTCGTCTACTTCAAGACGGCCCCCTTTCTAAATCATCATGACAACATACCTTCCCTCGTCTACTTCAAGACGGCCCCCTTTCTAAATCACCATGACAACATACCCTCCCTCGTCAACTTCAAGAAGGCCCCTTTCTAAATCATCATGACAACATACCCTCCCTCGTCAACTTCAAGACGATCCCCTTTCTAAATCAGCATGACAACATACCTTCCCTCGTCAACTTCAAGACGATCCCCTTTCTAAATCATCATGACAACATACCTTCCCTCGTCAACTTCAAGACGATCCCCCTTTTTGAAGGATAGGTCATCATCATTTACAGCCTCAAAATCATACATGGCCAGGAACTTGATGACCTCTGCAAAACATATGGGATGCACCAAAGTTAAATTTAAAGTCAACACTTTTAAAAGCATTGAACCATTTTTATTTTTTTTGGAGAAACATACATTGCATAAAAAGATAAAATTCCACTTTTCTGAAAGGTTGGAGCTGCTGGAAAATTCCTCGACAAAATGGGAAATAATCCTTCTTGTCACACAGTCTTGTGGATATGTTTTGGACACCCTGAATCGTTATGCATAGATCTAAATATGAAATAGATGAGGCGGTTTCACTGATCGCTTGTATTACTAGTCCATGTGGATAAACACGCTCCTATTCTAATAATATTCTAATGCTATTCAAAAATATTTTCAAAGCTGACATTTTTTACAAATACTAAGCAGGTTCAGCATGTGTAATAATTTTACGAAAAGAGTCAATGGTTTCCATGAAGAAAACACCACTGAATGTATATATACGTCTTACGTTGAACTGGCGGCAGCGGTGGCAGGCTCCGCTTCTTGGTGGACAGACTGGCATCGTTGTAACTTGTAGAGGGCTGTGTGGTCGGGTCAAACGTACCGGCATTCAGCTGGCTGATGGAGGGAGGGAGCTTGGGGATATCCTCATTCCTCGATACACATTTACCCATCTCGGTGAAGGGAGGCTAGCGGCACCTGAAGCAGTCGAATGTCAGCATTGTTCTCTGATGGACAAAACGAGACACGTAGCACTACGTACCTGGGTCCCGATCCACAGAGCACTACGATATTCGTAAGCCGATGTTAAAACACATCTGTGACGTCATTCTATTGTTTGAACGCTCCATTATTTTTCAGGAATGGAAGTTGTTTGTCAACTATAAATTATCTTAAACCAGTATTTGAATTTATTTGGAATTTCACTTGGAAATGACGGAACTATTTTTACATTTATTGACAAGTGAATAATTTCATTTTTTTCCGAAAATAAGTGTCGCCAGTGGGGTTCGAACCCGGATCGTTTGATGTTAGATCGTCTAATTGTCAAACTCAGCTACGGCGGCACATGAATGTATGGTGTGAAATTAACTATTGAATATTTTCATAACTTTGCATAATGTTTAAAACCTCAAAATAATATGTATATAATTTGTGTTAGAGCAGGTTACCTACAACACTGTTCATATTTACAGCAATTAGATAAACCTTTCACGAGAAAAAACAAATCAGATAATATATACTGAACCGCAAAAGAAACGTCACCCCAAGAAACATTGCACGAAAAGTTGTCATTTAAATATCTGGGTAATTTTTGTGAAAGTTTCTCAAATTTAACATTACCTTTTCCGGAAAAATGAAATTTGATGAGAAAAAAACAAAGCAGATGACAATAAAACGCATCACGGCAACGGCCATGGTAACCCGATGCACGTGAGTTCCGTGCAAATTGAAATGCACATGCGTTCTCCCCTTTCTTGCCCTATAAAAATCCACCCAGATCGGATAACATTCATTCGTTATTGAATTGCTACCACATGCCAAAATTGACAAGAAATCAGCGACACCAAGCCCTTGAACGATTGCAAGCTGAACAAACCGCCCGGCAAGTAGCCAATGCATTTCAAATCGACGTAAGGACCATATACAGGCTCCAGCAACGGTAGTAGAACACAAACACTACTGATGACCGACCACGTAGTGGAAGACCAAGGGTCACCACCTGACGTCAAGATCGTCAGATAGTGCAACAGTATCTTCAAGATCGCTTTGTTTCTGCTGCGGAAACTGCTCGACAGACCATGGGGACACACCAGCGACACATTAGTGCGGACACCGTGCGTCGACAATTGACGAGCAGACACCTCCATTGTCACAGGCCACACCGAGGACCCATTCTGACACCACATAATCGCCGGGATCGTCTTCAGTAGGCAACACAGCACCAGCATTGGCGCCACCTGCAGCGGAGAAGAGTCCTCTTCTCAGACGAGAGCCGTTACTATATCTCAACAGCAGATGGCAGAGAGAGAGTCTGACGCCGCCGCGGGGAACGTTATGCGGATGCTTGTGTTGTTGAGAGAGACTCATGGGGTGGTCCGAGCATCATGGTGTGGTGTGGAATTGAGCTTGCCCTGTGGTCTTCCAGAACATCGGTCTAGGGAGAGGCAATGGTGTCACAGCAGCTCGGTACATTGATCAAGTCTTGAGACTACACGCCATACCTCATTTGGCACGTCGCCGCAACCACGATTTTCAGCATGATTTCGCCTTGTCCACACTGCCAGAGAAACAAGAGACTTCCTCCAGCAGAAAAGCATCAGAACCATGCAGTGGCCTGTCCTCAGTCCTGAATTTAAATCCCATTGAGCACCTGTGGGACGAGATTCAAAGACGGCTGAATAACGTCCGACCAAGGTCGACAACTGCAGCTGAACTGCGTCAGGCGTTCCTCAGAGTGTGGGCTCAAGCGCCAGTGGCCTTCATCAACCGCCTCATCCATTCAGTTGCAGTCATCAAGGCACATGGCGGACACAGGAGATACTAATATGGGATGCCATTTTCTCAGAGACTGGTGTTGTGTTTCACGTTAAAGAACATTTGACACTTTAATTTCAACCTTGATGATCGGTTTTGCCAAGTTTCATCTTTTTAATATGTCTCAAAGTATGTTTACAGTGTTTGGACAAATAAGGTTTCTCATATCTATCCATGGTGACGTTTCTTTTGCGGTTCAGTATATATATATATCCTTGTTCGGGGCTCTATATTTCCTATTATTCCCGTCAGCATGTATTAACAATGTGCAGGCAATTGATAAATACTAGTTTAGGACCCAACGAAATTATGAAGAGCCGTGTACCATGCATTGAAAAATCGCGACGGAGCTTGGCGCACGCGCAACAGCGGCAGAGAAGCTGGAATGGAGAGTTACTCGGACATTCCCCTCTACATTAGCTATATAGTAACCCGGGGGGGGGGGGGGGGGGGGGGGGGCACGGGTGGCCCAGTCATCTAATGTGCCGCGATTTGCTGTGCAGAGTTGCGTCGCCAGAAACCTATGATTGTGGGTTCGAATCCCGGTTCGCCCGGATTATGGTTCTAGGTTTGGTTCGCCCGGATTATGGTTCTAGGTTTGTCAGCACCATACCCGTGCTCGTGGGTTTCACCGAAGTGGTAAACGTCTCAGACCTGCATCACTTCAGGCTTTCCTCCCACATTGAGCTGACACGCCGTGACATAACTGGAATACTGTTCAAAGCGGCTTTAAACCCAACGCACTCACTATATAGTTACGATAGGTCGAACGTTACGAAAACTTTGTGGATCGGTACCCTGGACGTTCTTAAAGCGGCGCCGGCAAAAAATGAAAGCGACAAAAAATATATAATCATATTAATAAATCTATGTTATACCATTTCGACCATTATAAGCATATGTGTATGAATCATTATCAGTTATTTTGATTTCTCTGTTTGTTGCTATGTTTCTAGGTTTGTCAGCACGTGCTCGTGGGTTTCACCGAAGTGGTAAACGTCTCAGACCTGCATCACTTCGGGCTTTCCTCCCACATTAAGCTGATACGCCGCGATATAACTGGAATACTGTTAAAAGCGGCGTTAAACCAAACTCACTCACTCACCCTCAGTTTGTTGCCTAACGCCGCACTCAATCCAGTGATTGACATCATGAGCATCGATCCACGCAATTGGGATACGATGACATGCATTAACCAAGTCAGCGAGCCTGACCACCGGATCCTATTTACGACAAGCATGGGTTGTTGAAGACCATTTCTAACCCGGAATTAATCAGTGATGATACGAGGTGCTTCCGAAAAGTTGGGCAAAACCTGCCCCACCTGTGGCACATTTCACAAACACATGAAAAGGCAAGTCAAATGTTCACCTGGAGAAAACACGGGAAAATACGGTACAAGTAAAAAATATGGAAGTGATCGGACATCATTCTGGTCAAAGTTTAACAACATGTCCTCCACATGTATAGTACCATAAAAGGCTTGGAAAGAAATCCTTGTATGTTGCAACGCTGATCAAGCACCTTTTGAACAAGAGTCGTATTACGCTGATAAATTCTTCAAAGAAAGAGCATGTATCACATGCAGTATACAGTATTTCAAGAGATATATACAGTATACCACATGCGGTAATATACAATGTACCGCGGGCAGTGTGCGCTGGGCAGTAGCGCACATTTCCTCCCCCTCTCCCTCAAGCAAACCCCTCGTGGGGGAGTGACCAGGTCACAGGTCAGGCGTGCACTGGACAGCTGTTTCACTGGGGGCTAGTGAGGGATGCGGGAGGCCGGCCATACATACTCTTGAAATTGTGGGACTGCAACTTCATGCTGTTGGCTTATAAGGCCAAGAGTAAGATCACCAAGACGACCACTGCACGTGAGGCATGTGGGTTGTGGACGAGATACTACATAGCATAGCTGTATTACCTTATAAAGAATAGTAATGAAAGTTAGAAAGAGATATATCCATCAAGACCTGCGCGAGCTGGCAATTGAGATCTGGGAGCTGAACACGAAACAGCTAGTGAAGCTCCCATGCACAATAAAACGTTGTGGACCCGCAGACGGAGTTGTGTTGTATATTGAAGAAGTATCCCCTAGAACAACATACATTTTCTACGGCGGATACATGCTTGATTTTCCCTTGAAAGTTGTGAAATGTTGACATCAAAGGCTGGAGCTACTGGACATAAAGGGAAACTTGACTGTTCGAAAGCCACCCCTCGTAGCATGCAGTACCCTCTTGTCACTCTGGTCCTTATGCATAGCTTCAAATATCAGTGAGTGACTATGGTTTTACGCCGCTTTTAGCAATTTTCCAGCAATATCACGGCGGGGGACACCAGAAATGGGCTTCACACATTGTACCCATGTCGGGAATCGAACCCGGGTCTTCGGCGTGACGAGCGAACGCTTTAACCACTAGGCTACCCGACCGCCCCGCTTCAAATATCAAAAAGATAAGGTAGTTTGGCTGGTCTCTTTCAGTTCTGGATCAGGTTGCTAAATCAGTGGAAGGGATTTGGCTATTTGACATTATTGAATGATATGTGATCATCCATATACCTGAAGCTTTAGTTAAACATCTTGGCAAAATTCTATTTTTTTTAATGTTTTGATTGTGATAATCCGAGCAGAAAATCCTATTGATGTGCATAAAGAAACATATCAGCAAGGGGGGAGGGGGATCGGGTGGGGGTGAAGAGGGGGGCGGGGGGAGGGATTACAATTTGTGACCGAGGGGGTGCCTACTTGACTTGATGTTCTATTTCTAAATTTCATAAAGATGTTATTTATAATGAAGTCCAGCATTTCACCAATTGTCTTCAACCTTTAAAGATGAAGGTACGCCATATGGTCATCGCGTTTAGTGGCTGATGTAGCATGGGTCAGGAATGATGTATTTTCTTTAGTTTGTCGTGTGGAATGGTGGTGAAAAAACTTGAAAAGATTGACTATAATTCTTAATACAATCAAGGAAAGTTTCCTTTATATTCAAATAACGTATTTGAGAATCAAAGGTGGAATTAATATCATATGGAGTCAGGTGGGGCAGGATACGCTGAGTGTTTCGCTAACACCTAGTACCATGACTATTTGATAGTGATTCATAAACAGTTGCTTATGACATAGTCGGACTCTGTTTTGGAGCGAAGATTTCTGATGATTGAAAACAATCTCTCCTGTGTACTTGTGCCCTTTGCCTTCAACATGCCAATTCATATTCATGGTAAGAAGGCAATATTGCTTCCTTTTGAAACATTTAAGAACCATAAAAGAACTGCTTAAACGAGATATGTTATTGTTTTTGTATTAAATTGAAATGCAGAGAATTCTCAAACATTAGGTTAGCACTCGGAAATTTGTGTGTAAATTTTGAGAACATTTTGAGCAAGGAAAACAGGCTTTGCAGTGCAAGAAAACAATGTAACTTCTGTGATCTCTTATTATTACAAATACAACAAACAGCTGTTATCAACCACAAAATGTTAATGCTATGTAAAGTCATAACACTGAAGTAAACAATTCTTAATGTCTTTGCATAATGAAAAATAAAAGAAAATAGATTTTACAATATAATTTGATAACAGAGAAATATGTATGACACAAAACCATTCAAAACACAAAAGTTGTCTAGGAATTGTAAATTCTGTTTTTCATGCTTATTTCTGAAATTTGGAGCAAATTGGAAAAAAATGGCGGCCATATTGAAAATGGCGGCCAAAATGACATTTAGCTGGACATGTGGGATGTCCATCATGTGATTTCATGTAGTTTGGACATCAGGCTATCTGAAAAACACAATGGAAATTTGTCCCTCCATTTGGTAGCCAAACATAAAAATCAGGGGTCTGGCTCATGGACTTTTAAGAGTGTGTTCACATAAGCCAATAAATGTCCATGCAATTGCGGCGCCGAAGATAATTTAGCAGTCCTTGCCCCTGCATAAAAAGGATCAAAGTTTAACATCTCAAATTGAAATAGATGGCCTTACTTGCCCAAGTAAACATGCAGCCATTATAAAGCTATGTTCATAATCATACCACATACAATATCTAACATCTCAAGTTGAAATAGATGGCCTTACTTGCCCAAGTAAACATGGAGCCATTATATAGCTATGTTCATAATCATACCACATACAATATCTAACATCTCAAGTTGGAATAGATGGCCTTACTTGCCCAAGTAAACATGCAGCGATTATACAGCTATGTTCATAATCATACCACATACAATATCTAAAATCTCAAGTTGGAATAGATGGCCTTACTTGCCCAAGTAAACATGCAGCGATTATATAGCTATGTTCATAATCATACCACATACAATATCTAAAATCTCAAGTTGGAGTGATGGCCTTACTTGCCCAGGTAAACATGCAGCCATTATATAGCTATGTTCATAATCATACCACATACAATATCTAAAATCTCAAGTTGGAATAGATGGCCTTACTTGCCCAGGTAAACATGCAACCATTATATAGCTATGTTCATAATCATACCACAGACTAGCGATTATATAGCTATGTTCATTTTCAAACTACATGCACAATTTAACATCTCAAGTTGGAATAGAGGCCTTACTAGCTCAAGTCTACATGCAGTGATTATATTGCCATGTTCATGATTAAACTACATACAAAATGCAATTTATAAATGAGTTGAACACTTACAAAACAAACCACATTTCTAATTGAGAAACAGCCAAGCAGGATGGCGTTTTAATGCATATTTTGGTCAAAACAAAAGACAAGGTTTTCCTTTCAAACTGATACATATCTACAACAGGGAATGAAAATATACCAGACGTGTCGAGAACGGAAGTACAAATATTTAAAGTATAAAATAGTAAACTTTAAAAATATGTGGGGGTCCACATTCAACGCGATAAAACGACAGAACACCTTAATTTTTTTAATGAAATTTTCAGATATATGTTGCTGAAAGATCACAGTATGATGATTACGGTCATCAATAATTCATATATTTTCAGAAATTACTATTAACTACATCAAAGTGATCGCAAAGTTAGGACACAGTTGCAACGAATCTGGTTAGCGACAATACGCACGTTTTACTGATGAAACCTGTTCCTGTTCCACAAAGCAATGGCAAGTGTTCTGTATGTTCTAAAGTTCTTAGCATGAAATTACCAAACTATGGATGCTTTACAGTGCTAGATACTCTGGTGTGGAATTCTACTAAATCATGATAGAAAATGGCTCAAGTCTTCAGATATTATGCGTAAGTAACATTGCTGCGAGAAACGTGAGTTTAGATGTGGTTAAGATCGCCTTAGGCCTTGGCGAACATCTATCTCAAATAATGAACATTAAGAGATTGTGAATTTATAATTTACACCTTCCTATGCAATACGCAGGGCCTGAATTCGCAGGGTCTGAATACGCAGGGCTGAATACGCAGGGTCTGAATACGCAGGGCCTGAATATGCAGGGTCTGAATACGCATGGCCTGAATACGCAGGGGTTGAATACGCAGGGTCTTAATAAGCAGGGCCTGAATATGCAGGGGCTGAATACGCAGGGGCTGAATACGCAGGGGCTGAATTCGCAGGGCCTGAATACCCACGGTCTGAATACGCACGGTCTGAATACGCAGGGCCTGAATGCGCAGAGAAACCAAGGTTGGTGAGCAATTTAGTATAACTGATATCCATTTCCTGGTTACGAGTATTTACACATCAGGAATAAGATTATCTCAGCACAGAAACAAGACACTGTTCGGCTCAGAAGGCGCCTATAATGATAATACACGCGGATTATGATCACTACAGTGTCATGTCGAGCTGCTGTGTACGAACACAAGTGTCTGATCGAAAGACATACCTGTAGTCTCAATCAGCATGTGTGATCCGTCCCGAGCCAAGCTGCGTATATCCAACTATTCATGTCAGAGGAAAAAATGGACACCTTGTGCATTTAAAACAGGAGCAATATACATCCGCGTTGTCAATATCACTGTCATTGAGTTGCTAGCTCGGTAACATGTGACTTAACGTGTTGACAATATCACTGTCATTGAGTTGCTAGCTCGGTAACATGTGACTTAACGTGTTGACTATATCTTTGTCATTGAGTTGCTAGCTCGGTCACATGTGACATAACGTTTTGACTATATCTTTGTTATTGAGTTGCTAGCTCGGTCACATGTGACATAACGTTTTGACTATATCACTGTCATTGAGTTGCTAGCTCGGTCACATGTGACTTAACGTGTTGACTATATCACTGTCATTGAGTTGCTAGCTCGGTCACATGTGACTTAACGTGTTGACAATATCACTGTTATTTTCTTGCTAGCTCGGTCACGTGCCAAAAACGTGCTGACAAAATCACTGTTATTGAGTTGCTAGCTCGGTCACATATGATATAATGTGTCGACTATATCACAGTCATTGAGTTGCTAGCTCGGTCACATGTGAAACAACGTGTTGACTATATCATTGTTATTGAGTTGCTACCTTGGTCACATGTGACATAACTTGTTGACTATATCACTGTTATTGAGTTGATAGCTCGGTCACATATTTCATCATGTGTTGACTATATCACTGTTATTGAGATGATAGCTCGGTCACATGTGACATAATGTGTTGACTATATCATTGTTATTTTGTTGCTACCTCGGTCACATGTGACATAACTTGTTGACTATATTACTGTTATTGAGTTGCTAGCTCGGTCACGTCTGACATAACGTGCTGACAAAATCACTGTTATTGAGTTGCAAGCTTGGTCACATATTTCATAACGTGTTGACTATATCATTGTTATTGAGTTGCTAGCTCTGTCACATGTGACATAATGTGTTGACTATATCACTGTCATTGAGTTGCTAGCTGGGTCACATGTGACATAATGTGTTGACTATATCAATTTTAATTGAGTTGCTAGCTCGGTCACATGTGTCATAACGTGTTGACTATATCAATTTTAATTGAGTTGCTAGCTCGGTCACATGTGTCATAACGTGTTGACTATATCAATTTTAATTGAGTTGCTAGCTCGGTCACATGTGACATAATGTGTTGACTATATCAATTTTAATTGAGTTGCTAGCTCGGTCACATGTGTCATAACGTGTTGACTATATCAATTTTAATTGAGTTGCTAGCTCGGTCACATGTGACATAATGTGTTGACTATATCAATTTTAATTGAGTTGCTAGCTCGGTCACATGTGTCATAACGTGTTGACTATATCAATTTTAATTGAGTTGCTAGCTCGGTCACATGTGTCATAACGTGTTGACTATATCAATTTTAATTGAGTTGCTAGCTCGGTCACATGTGACATAATGTGTTGACTATATCACTGTCATTGAGTTGCTAGCTCGGTCACATATTTCATCATGTGTTGACTATATCACTGTCATTGAGTTGCTAGCTCGGTCACATGTGACATAACATGTTGACTATATCAATTTTAATTGAGTTGCTAGCTCGGTCACATGTGACATAATGTGTTGACTATATCACTGTCATTGAGTTACTAGCTCGGTCACATGTGTCATAACGTGTTGACTATATCAATTTTAATTGAGTTGCTAGCTCGGTCACATGTGACATAATGTGTTGACTATATCAATTTTAATTGAGTTGCTAGCTCGGTCACATGTGTCATAACGTGTTGACTATATCAATTTTAATTGAGTTGCTAGCTCGGTCACATGTGACATAATGTGTTGACTATATCAATTTTAATTGAGTTGCTAGCTCGGTCACATGTGTCATAACGTGTTGACTATATCAATTTTAATTGAGTTGCTAGCTCGGTCACATGTGACATAATGTGTTGACTATATCAATTTTAATTGAGTTGCTAGCTCGGTCACATATGTCATAACGTGTTGACTATATCAATTTTAATTGAGTTGCTAGCTCGGTCACATGTGTCATAACGTGTTGACTATATCAATTTTAATTGAGTTGCTAGCTCGGTCACATGTGACATAATGTGTTGACTATATCACTGTCATTGAGTTGCTAGCTCGGTCACATATTTCATCATGTGTTGACTATATCAATTTTAATTGAGTTGCTAGCTCGGTCACATGTGACATAACGTGTTGACTATATCAATTTTAATTGAGTTGCTAGCTCGGTCACATGTGACATAATGTGTTGACTATATCACTGTCATTGAGTTACTAGCTCGGTCACATGTGTCATAACGTGTTGACTATATCTTTGTCATTGAGTTGCTAGCTCGGTCACATGTGACATAATGTGTTGACTATATCTTTGTCATTGAGTTGCTAGCTCGGTCACATGTGACTTAACGTGTTGACTGTATCACTGTCATTGAGTTGCTAGCTCGGTCACATGTGTCATAACGTGTTGACTATATCTTTGTCATTGAGTTGCTAGCTCGGTCACATGTGACATAACGTGTTGACTATATCTTTGTCATTGAGTTGCTAGTGCGGTCACGTGTGACATAGGATCACTGTTACTTTGTTGCCAGCTCGATCACATGTGACATAATGTGTTGACTATGTCGCTATTGTATTACTTACGAATGTCAGGATCACCACACAGAAGGCGTAGGTGTGACTCTCTTCATGAAGCCAGTTTTTATTGTCGGACGCTGTGTCGTTTCCGTCATTTTCTGAGTACGGCGTAAACCCTTGATGATAAAATCGTACACAAAGTATATCTACTTCCTTGTCTTAATGGCATTGATCCTGTGTGGCACATGCAGACTAAACACGTGATGGCCAACATATCTAATTGTATATGCGTCAAAGCGGCAAACTGCCACACTGCCTGCACACACGCTGACTCGGAGTCCAGGAAACTAGTGAATCTCATGAATAATCCACGGTGACGTTATCTGCATGAAAGGCCTTGGCTGGGAATACTAACATTGACGGTAGTACAGTAACACTGACATAGTTGACAACTGTTGCCTGTTTCTATGCACTGTAGAGTTGTGCTCTGACATAGCCGTGGGTTGTGTTACATGTGCTGTTTTACAGGAACGTAGATCAGGGAAGTCAATTTCCTGACGAATCGTTTGTTTGTTTGTTTGTTTTTTGTTTTTTTGTTGTTGTTTTTTTTGTTGTTGTTTTTTTGTTGTTTAACGGCACACTCAGCAATATTCCAGCTATATGACGGCGGTCTGTAAATAATCGAGTCTGGACCAGGCAATCCAGTGATTGACATCATGAGTATCGATCCACGCAATTGGGATGGATGACATGCATCAACCAAGTCAGCGAGCCTGACCACCCGATCCTGACAGAAACAGGCAACAGTTGTCAACTTTGTCAGATAGAGAACAATCGCTAAAATAACTATAACGGATATTATTTTTCAGGCTAAAAGCTAGGGTTTGATATAACAGAGTCGTATGGTTTTACGGCGCCTTTAGCAATATTCCTGCAATATCACGGCGGGGGACACCAGAAATGGACTTCACACATTGTACCCTTGTCGGGAATCGAACCAGGGTCTTCGGCGTGACGAGGGAAAGCTTTAACCACTAGGCCACCCCACCGCCCCCTTAATTCAAAAGGATATAAAGTAGCAACATATTACTGGTTATGCCTTTGCACAAGAAGAAAGACACAACGACCATTCTTTAAGGCAGAAGTTTAGATATGCTAATATCTCTAAAAAGGAGCAGTCAGAACAATGTCGAGAAACAGTCGTTACTAGATAGAGAAGAGAAACAGAGTCATTACATAGGGTAAAGAAACATTACCATATAGGATTGAGAAACAGAATCATTACTATATAGGGTAGAGTAACAGAATCATTACTATATAGGGTAGATATAGGGTAGAGAAAAAGAGTCATTACTATATAGGGTAGATATAGGATAGAGAAACAGAATCTTTACTATATAGGGTAGAGTAACAGAATCATTACTATATAGGGTAGATATAGGGTAGAGAAAAAGAGTCATTACTATATAGGGTAGATATAGGATAGAGAAACAGAATCTTTACTATATAGGGTAGAGTAACAGAATCTTTACTATATAGGGTAGAGTAACAGAATCATTACTATATAGGGTAGATATAGGGTAGAGAAAAAGAGTCATTACTATATAGGGTAGATATAGGATAGAGAAACAGAATCTTTACTATATAGGGTAGAGTAACAGAATCTTTACTATATAGGGTAGAGTAACAGAATCATTACTATATAGGGTAGATATAGGGTAGAGAAAAAGAGTCATTACTATATAGGGTAGATATAGGATAGAGAAACAGAATCTTTACTATATAGGGTAGAGTAACAGAATCATTACTATATAGGGTAGATATAGGGTAGAGAAAAAGAGTCATTACTATATAGGGTAGATATAGGATAGAGAAAGAGAATCTTTACTATATAGGGTAGAGTAACAGAATCTTTACTATATAGGGTAGAGTAACAGAATCATTACTATATAGGGTAGATATAGGGTAGAGAAAAAGAGTCATTACTATATAGGGTAGATATAGGATAGAGAAACAGAATCTTTACTATATAGGGTAGAGTAACAGAATCATTACTATATAGGGTAGATATAGGGTAGAGAAAAAGAGTCATTACTATATAGGGTAGATATAGGATAGAGAAAGAGAATCTTTACTATATAGGGTAGAGTAACAGAATCTTTACTATATAGGGTAGAGTAACAGAATCATTACTATATAGGGTAGATATAGGGTAGAGAAAAAGAGTCATTACTATATAGGGTAGATATAGGATAGAGAAACAGAATCTTTACTATATAGGGTAGAGTAACAGAATCATTACTATATAGGGTAGATATAGGGTAGAGAAAAAGAGTCATTACTATATAGGGTAGATATAGGATAGAGAAACAGAATCTTTACTATATAGGGTAGAGTAACAGAATCTTTACTATATAGGGTAGAGTAACAGAATCATTACTATATAGGGTAGATATAGGGTAGAGAAAAAGAGTCATTACTATATAGGGTAGATATAGGATAGAGAAACAGAATCTTTACTATATAGGGTAGAGTAACAGAATCATTACTATATAGGGTAGATATAGGGT